GCAGATTCGCGCCTCTGTGTGTGCAGCCGCCGGTTTGTTGTTGATGCGCGGCAGCGCGGAATAATGCAATTGGGCTAATTATCGCCTCGCGCGCTAATTTATATTTGGGCTCTTTGCACGCGGGTCACATATCTCTCTCTGGTCTCGATTCGCCGGCAGCGCAGTTCTCAGTTCTGAAACTCGCTGTATGTATTTCATGCGCGGGGATGCTAATCAACCTCTGCGGCGGCAATTATATCACTCGAACCTTGATGAGCCACCAACACGTGGTACGTGACCATCCGTCCAAAGGTGTGGTCCGGAATAAATACGCGCTTGATCATTTGCGCAGTGCTAACAAAACTTGCAAATAAATAAACCAGAGTCACTTTTCACCAAACAAAAGTGTGGAAAGTAATCAACAAAATGTTTGTATATAAAGATTTTATTTGTTACTAAAAATAATCAATTGAGAAATAATTTCATTAAAATAAGATATTTTTTTATGAAACAAATCTTCCTTACGGCGAGTTGAATTCATATTCCCCGATGGAGTTTCTGAGTCTTTCATTGTTTAAAAAAAAATTGATCTCTTTTGAATCAATATAACTTCTCTAAAAAACCATCGAGGAAAAGTCGAATTGAAATTCATCTCGCCTTGAATCAACCCTCTATAGTGAAATTATTCTCCCACAAAAATATTCTTAACTGTAAAATTAATATCCAAGAAGTTTTAGAAAATGATTAAATTAATATAAACCGAAAATTTCATTTTGTTTTTTAAAGTCTTTAACAGGTACACGGCCTAATTCCAAGCACAATCCAACAGTTTCAAATTTCTACTATAATCTACTATACCATGATAAATTTTTCCCGTTTATTTTATTTTTCACATAAAATTTCATTAATTAATGAAATAAACACCAACTAAATTTTTTAATTGAATTTTGAAAAAGTTAAAAAAATTATTATTTGATATGTAATATGTTGAATTACACAAATTTAATATCATGAGAACATTTTATCACCGGAATCACTTATTTTTTGTCGGTATTTGATATTTCGTGAATCAAATATTTATATTACTGCGAATGATGAATTTATTTTAGGAGAAGTTTACATAATCGCTGGGTTTTTTCAGATCAACATTACAGAGCCAACAGTGCTTTTTAATAAAACGCAAAACATAATTATAAATATTTGATATAAACCAGATTTAAAGCTTTTGCACCAAATGTGGAGAGCAATACACATCGTTGATGTTTTATAATTTCCAAGAACATTTACAATTGAATTGGTAAACTTCTTTTAAACGAATGCAAATCTCAAAGCACCACACACAAAAAACAACGGGGCAACCATGTATGCAGAAAATGCGCTCACAAAAACATAAAACCAAAAATGAAACAACAAACCAGAATATATTATTCTGAGCGTGAATGTGAATCCGCGTCGGTCAGGAATGCAAAGCAAATGAAACGACAAGAGAGAAAGCCCTTTCTCTTTCATTCGCCTCTGTGCGCTTTTTTATTTCTAAAAAATAACACACAACATAATATTTCCACCAAACACACACACACACACAGAGCAGCATCCCTTACGAGAGAGAGAGAAGAGCATTTGCGGGCGAAATAATAAATGAAAAGCCGCAGGACGTTCAGCTGTGGCGTTTTCATGCGCCTTCTTTTTCTTTTGTAGTGCGGCTCGCTCTCGCAATAATATTGTGCTTATCTGGAGGCTAGCAAACTTTATTTAGAAGTGCTCAACTCTCAGTAACTCACTGTTCTGCCGCCACACCACCGAAAGAAAAAAAAGCAAGCGTATAGAAATAAATTCCTGCAGTGGCTGATAAGGAGCAAATCCCAGTCCCACAGGCACTTATCAGCCGATAAGGCGTGTTCGGCGTAAATTGAATATTTATTGATGGATATCTGCATGTGTGTAGCCACCCATGTTTTCCTCACGGCGATCCTCTCTCTGGAGAAAAGAGACCGAGTGGCACAAGAAAAGAAAGAAAGCGAGGATGAGATTTTTATGGCCTCTTTCTTCTGCTCCTTTCTCTGCCTCGTGTGCGCCACTTTATTAAAGAACGCACGCTCCGCTGATGGGGGATCGCATTTGAATGAATGGATTTGGCGCATAAAAAGCCATGCAAATCAGCCTCAGAAACAACATTATTTCCTTTCTCCCGGCACACATTGCTTGCCGACGTTATGTTTGGAGCCCATCGACGGAGCATACTCGCAGCATGAAAGGCTGCGTCTCGAATTATGATTTTTTTTTAATGTGAGAGATATCTTGAATGAAAACTGAATACGTATCAAGAGCACGTGATTTGAATAGAGAGATTGAATCAATTGAGAGGCTCACGTGAAGCGAACGGGGGAAATCTGACATGAAAAATCCAGTGCATTCTTTTAATTTGGATTTTTACATTAGAAAATTGCATTGAATCGGATATAAAAATTCTATATTAAGGAGCACAGATTCATTGGATTTTTAATAAGTATTTTTTGACACTTAAATGTTAAATATTGATGACTCTATAATGTTCTGATTTACAATAGATGACTTTTTTAAAGTTCTTTCAAGCCAAAATGTGGAAACACTAAAGAAAAATTTTAAGTTCATGCCGCTTCAAAAGTGTCCAACTCCGCAACTCGGCGCGCATATAACAGTGAGAATCATTTGAGTATAAACTGCATTTTTTTAAGTGTTGTTTGTTACTTCGAAATAGACGAATGTCCCCAATCAAACAAGTTTTTTTTTTAATTATCTTTCAAATCTTACTATGGAAAAAAACTTAAATAAATTTCAATTTCATGCCGCTTTAAAAGTGTAAATGTTAACCTCAGCAACCATAAAAGATTAAGAATCATTTTTAATCAAATGTTCTGCATTTTTAGTACATAACATAAGTGTCAATTGTTGCTTTCAAATAGTGAAATTTTAATGATGCTTTCTTTACTCCACTAAAAGTGACGAATTAAATTTGTTAATCCTTACACAAAAGAAATTGAGATTATATATTTTAATCAAATACAGAATGCAATATAAAAATTTATTTTTCTGATGTTTTCACTTAGCATATTGCCCTTTATTCTTTTTTCTCGTCCTTCAAATGAAAATTCATGTCTGCAATGGTAAATCCCCTGCAAATTATTCAAACCTCACGGTGGAAAATTTAAATATTGGATTGCGCGGAGGAGTCGATTACAAACGAGATTTCTCTTTTTATACTCCCTCCCATTCTTGACAGCGCGGCGCAGGGATGAGGAGAACAAAAAGAAAGGTGAACAGCCGAGAGAACAAAGTCCCTAAGCTGATTTGGCGCATACGAAATGAGTCTGAAACGTATTTATCTTTCTCCTTGCAAAAAAAATATGCGCGAAAGTGAAGGGAGTGAAAGTTGCCCGAGTATTACTCCCTATTTCCTCATCTGGAAAGATTTTTTCCTTGTCTCTATGGCAAGAAATTTCTCCTAGAATTGTCACATTACCCTCGATGGCGTGTTCGCAAAAGGAATCTCCAATTGACTTTTCGCACTGGCAGAAAGTGGCGTTTCCAATGTGCCTCGGCTCGTTACAATCGGAGCCAAGTGCCGATTCGGACCAAAAGACACACGGCGCTCGCCGACACTCCATTACTCACCGACGAGATGGGACATTCGATTTTATTTGAAAAATTTATCTTGTCCCTGTGGCGTGGCTGCAGAACAAAAAGATAATCTCCTTTGCGGCTGCCGAAAAAAAATAACACGGCCACCCTCTTGTATCATATAAAGTAAGACTGCAGCCCACAATCGTATCGGGGCCGAAAAATAATAATCCCCTCGCTCGCTGTCAAAATGAGAAAATGAAAAATGCACATGGGCAAAATATAGAACATATCTCCTCATATCCAGCGCGAGGAGAAAATGAGTTTTGCCGCCGCCGACGCCATAGCCAGAGATGAAACAACAGCATTTAGCCCCATTTAGCTTGGCCGGCGTGCACCTGGGCCTTCATTTTCCACCCTCAGCATCAATTTTGCAAACTGCTTGAACCAGACTTGCATACTAAATTGAATGAGAATGTCTTCGAGAAAATTGTATCAAAAAAAATATCAAATAAAATTTAATTCAAATACTTACTATTCTTTGAAAAAATAATGGGATTAAAACAATTTGGAATTCAATAGGTTACGTAAATATAAATTTTATTTTTTACATGTGTATATATATTTTATTATTACTATAATTGTCATTTTAAAATTATTATCATATCATTTAACACATTTATCCACAAATGTCAGGAAAGAAAAATATGAAAAATACAATTTATTTATAATATTGCAATTTTTATCAACAGAATTTGTATTTAAATATCAAATGAAAGACCGATGTTACTGTAAAAAATTTAAAAGTAAGCCATGTGTGCTTATTTGTTCCCAACTTTAAATTTTTAATGAAATAAATATTTGCATAATTAATTTGGCTCCCTTTGCGCAACATCCCTTTCAAGCTCATCTCCAGCATCGCGTCACAAGCGGCTAATGGAGGTCGGCGGACATCAATGAAGAGCGGAAAAAGCTTTTGGTGCTAAGAGATTACACTCGTGGGCGCAGGCACGGCGTCGAATCAAAAAGTAATGAAATTAATACAGCAAAATGCACTCTGCGGTCTTCCTCTTTTCTCTTTTTTTTTTTACTCTTCTCTCTATCTGTTGCACGCCAAAGGACGGACGGGCTAAATTGGGCCCGCCATCGGCAATAAAGTGCTGCATTTACTGCCGATCGGGCCGCCCGCACTTTTCGAGAGAGCGCCCGAATCGATTTTCTACTTCGTCTCCTTCGCCTCCAAGGCTAATTTTCTTCATGCGACTTCTTCGCACCTGCTCGCCGAGAAATGCCTATTGGAAAATTCATGTTACGCACTAGGCAAAGTGCGAAGTCATCGCGGAATTTCATATCAGCATGTTCCTGCGAGGCGAATTTATTTCAAGCGCTCCAGTTGAGAGTAAAAAGTCCAGGCGAATCTCAGGTTTTTCCAATTTTGCTCTTTATTTTGATTTTTATTTATTTACACAATGAAAACACATGTCTCTCAGCTACTCAATTTCATTATTCACACAATTATTGCAATAATTTTTTTTATTTTCTAATTTACCTAGATTGCAAGTCCAAAGAATTATCCTTAAAAAATTGCTTCGGAATATTATTTAAATGCAGGACGAATAGTTAGTACAGCTTCCTTATTAAAACTTTCTCCTTAATAACGAGCTAATAATAAAATCCGTCTTTCCCGAACGCAGAGCTTAAAATCCGATTATATTTCAACAGTGTTTGGAGCGTGGAAACACGGACTTTCCACACGCGCAGCCAAGCTTCTAGTTTGAAATAATTAAAATTTTAATTTGCTCCTATAATTGACCAAGATGGTTTCTCTCGTCTGTAAATATTGAACCACTTCCAATTTTCTCCTTATCTATCAACCACATTATAGCAAATTCATCAAGATCACAGTTAAGTGTTTTTTTTTCTCTTATTAATCTCTCTTAAAAAATCGATGCAGACATTTAATTGTTGTATCTCTAGTAGCACGACATTGGCGAATTATAATGCGTTCAAGTCCATGGCCAGGTCTGATTGAGTGATGTGCCTCGAATTCACTGCAACAAATTAATTTCAAAGTAAGAAAAAACCAAATAAATGCTGGTAGCTAAAGTAAGTTTTACAAACTAGGAGTAATGAAGTTAGTCGGAATTCTCTGGGGCATTTTAATTTCAGATTCGTGCCCGAGGAAAGGAAAATCTCGCATGCATGCGCGAGTTCCTCCATTGTATAATCATTTAAAACTTTCCTTAATTGCGTATTATCATACTGTACCTTTGTAGAGAACTTCTCCGCGTGTCGGGCACTTTTCAGTTGGGTTCTGCAAATAGAAGAAAAGCGTCAGTTGGAATTAATTCGCGAATCTTGCCAACAGCGTCTCTTTCTCTCGCTGTTATTTGCGTTTTACACACTTTGCGAGTAATTATTCCAAAGCAATGAAAGCATCCAAATATTTAAATTAACAACTGTTTTCTCCACTCGAGTGACAAACACACTCTCTCGTTTTGGAAAAAGTTCATAATATGTTTGCATGCCGAAGTTCTTTCCTTCAGCCAAAACCAATTCAAGTTTGAGTGTCGTGAAAAGGGATTTGGTTGGTTCGTTAAGCAGCGCCTTAACGCCGCAATCTCATTCCCCGCTAATGGCCTGATTCGCAAAAATGCTCGCGACTTCTACTCACTTGATGGCTCTTGCCGTCGAAGTCAATGTTGGTCCGTATCGTTCGATGGTGCAGAGGTTGCAAGGGGCGCACGTTGTTTGCTAGAGGGGCTTTGGGGGTCTCTTCTGGCCCTTGCATCAGACGCCGTAGCGCGTATAACTGGAGAAAATATCACATACATTTATCAAATATGGAGCGAAAAATTAGATTGAATAAATTATTTATTATTTCTAACTAAAAAAAATTACGTATCAATATCAAAATGAAAAACAATACAATTCGAAGAAGCTTCATAATGAACAAATTGAAGCAGTAAAATCGTTTATAATTTTTTAATTTCAAAGTTACATATATTGCTTTCTTTATTTATATATTTTAAAAAATTTCAATTTGTTTTCAATTTTTTTTTTTTTGTAAAACAGTTGAAAATAAATCAGAAAAATTTATAAAAATAAAAAATAATAAAAAATAATTTAAAAAATAATTATATAAAGTATGTAAAGTTGAAACGTTTATCCTATAATTAATTATTATTTAATAACAAACAAAAATTAGACTTAAAAATATATAATTTACCTCTTGTTTGGTGATGTATATTGGTTTGTTAAGAACGACCCAGATGGCCGTTTCCCAGCAGCCAGGGTGTGTGGTCGAGCCTTCGTAGGTCATGTAATAGTCCGTGTCTGGCAAAAGGCTGCGTAACGAGAGATACCGCACTGGAGCACTCGCGCCTGCGACAAACAAAAACAAAAAGGGACAACACCATTAATTCCACCATTTTTCATCCTGCTCCATTTTTCATGCATCGCATCAGCACACTTAATGAAATGTTTCATTACTCGCTTGTGCGCCGAATAAATATATTTACATCGGCGGCGGCAGCAATAATTGCGAGCATCAATCAAGTTGGGCGCAGATGGAACGCAAATCGCATTCATCATCGAACAAAAAAATATATATAACTGGGCGATCCTCTTTTTTTTCAGCGAATTCAAATATCATCATAGAGTGCTTGGCTGTCTGTCCTGATATGACGAGGGCTGCTCTCTTTGCACGCGCGGTGACAGCGGGTGGAGGTAATAAAAATACGGCCGGCCTTTTGTCCCTCATTTATCACACATTACTATTTACGTTTCTGAATTGGGACGGATATGCCATCGCTCGGCAGGAGAGTGTGCTTAAATTTAACACCTCTCTTTCACATGCAAATTGAAAAGGACAAAAGGCATCAATTCAGTCAATGAATAACGCAAAAAATAATTGTGTCAAAAATTGATATTTTTTTGGCTACTCTTTGTATAATTTTGTAAATTTCATTTTCAGTATACGACTCCTCATTCAATTAAAATTCCACGAATTCAAATATTCACCATGGAATTTGGAACTACACAAAAAATCGCAAAAAAAATTAATTTCATAATGGATTTTAAGAATATGCTTGAAGTCATGTTTATCAACAAACGAAATGCTTAAAATATATAGAATCGATTCATTAAACAATTATTTTTATGAATTTTATTATAATTATCGTTATAACCAATGCTGATACCCAAATAATTTTGGCACAATTTCCATGTTATTTAAATTTCTACATAAAAATGTGTTTTTTTAAACCATGTGCGCGACCCGATTAGAATTTTTTAAATGTTTTACACTGACTGGCGTTTTGTATTCAGCACTCGTTTATTTGCTTTCTCAAGTGGAAAATTTTCCAAGTGAAAATTTCTGTTCTCGCACCCCATCCATTTAAATGTACAATTCAAGCACCTGATAATGGGGACGTTGCCGCAGATGAACGTTTAATTGACACGCGCGGCAGGGGGAGAAGCTAAATGATTCAGACAAAGATAATGCGTGCGCGCTCCATTACCGCAAATAATAAAACGCGCGAATCCGAGTCGCTCATTCATCCGACGTTTGCCGAGGAAGTCTCTCTCTCACTCACTCTCATTCTACGTAATTGTGCTCCGTCGTGTCGTCGGCACACAATGCCGAGCCGAGGGTTAGCAGAGAGCAGAACGTCGGCGTTTCGCGGCGGAGGCGACAAATCACGCGAGCGCATTAGGAATGCGCTATTTATTCCACCCGCCGCCGCTGCAAAGTGTAAATCCGCCGACGAGAAAAATGAGTTGCGCGGAAAAAAGAAACAAGGGGGCGCATATTTCGCCGCACCACTCGGAAATAATATATTTGCCGTTATTACCCAAACAGGGCCTGTACATCATGTAGGCCATTTAGCGTCTTGGCTCGGCGTGCGTGCGTGAAGCATGCCTTTAAAATAACCCCAGCAAGCTCAGCAACATCGTCACAGCATTTTTGTGCCGCGTCTGCAGAATGTGACGCCCCGGACCCGCCGTGTGTCATCTAGCAGGCGCGGATTTGTAGTTTTTCACACATTTGTAAACTTTTTTTATTAAATATTGAAGCAAAATTTTATATATATAATGGTTCTTTCGAAGCCAATATACAAATCATTAATTTTTACACAAATCAATTAAATTTAGAATTGAAAGCCACACCTCGTGGATGCTCCCATGCCACTTGTTTTTTGAATTGACAAGCATTTGACTTTCCACTATGCTTCTTCTCACACTCAGGGTAAAACCATCCATCATACATTCAAAATTAAAGAAGAGAAAAATATTAATTTTATTTCTACTCCAAAACCTATATTATTGTGTACTTATTTTTAATGAAACAAGCTCCACTGAAGAACATCCGAATCAAAGACATATGATTTAATTTCCACTAGCACATGAAATTCATAGTAGAAATTGGCGTATTTATTTTATCTTTGAATTACTGATTTTCCAAAAAATATAAACTTTTTTATTTTAAAAAAAACTTTACCTAATAATTAGACTTTATATCATAAAAAGAAATATATATGTATAAAGTGTTTTTAAACTGTTATAAATAAATTTAAAATTATAAAAAAATGTAACAATGTAAAAATGTAAAAATAGTTTTTATAACATTAACACATAAAAAATGTAGCCTTGTACATTTTGATTGAAGATAATAATTGAATAAAGTGTTTTGAAAATGTTTTGATGCAAAGCTACAAATCCGATCTCTGTTGAGCCAAGTAATCTGCGCGTGTATTTTGCCACACTGCAGCAGGGGCGGCGGCACAAGGCCTTTTATTATGCCACTGTACATAACACTCAACAAACCGGATTTCATTTCGCAGTCTTCTCGACTCATTTGGCAACAGTCGCTCGGGCGCTCTTTTTAACTTTATGACATCTTTTGTAGCCGACCATCTTTCGCCTCGCGAGCTAGACACTGTCGTACGGAAACACGAGTGACGCCCCGGCCAGAATTAAACAAACTCGGTGATAATTTGGCGCGCGATTCACGCGAAAGAGGCAGCTGCTTTTTATTATCAACACCCTCTGGCCCTTTTTCGCACTCTCTTCTTTTTTAATTAAATGAACATAAAATCAGGCCCATTCATGCCGGGATTAAATTTTTCACAGCGAGCGCAGCAGCAGCAGCGGGAGAGAGGGCTAAAATTTATTCGCGACGTTCGTCTGCCTCGTGTTTCTTTTGCAGCTGCCTCCCGAGACCTGTTTAGCATGCCGAGCGACGGTTGCTCTGACAACTGTCCACCGCCGCTATTTACTTGTCCCCGGAGTGGGGCCTTCCCTCGGGGGCCGCGGAGGCGTGCAATTAATAACAATGACGAATAATGCATACAAATTGCGCGCTTTGTTTTCCGCCCGGAGACCAAATTCTTCCCTTGTTTTTTTTCTCTTTTTTTAATCTGAAATATGAGCCTTTTAAAATTATTGTTATTTGGAAATGTTCCAGAAAGAAAATGGAAAAAAACTATTCCGAGAATATCACATTTATTAAGCAAAAAATGCAAGTTTCTTTCTCTTTCAAAAAATTTGAGTATTTTGGGATGATAAAATTTGGAATCTAAGATTAAATTTAAGGATTGATGAAAGAAGTGGATATGCCAGGCTAAAATTTGAGACTAAACGGTATTAGAGCTGCAGGTTTTTGCCAGAAATAATAAGAGCAAAGATAAAGGGGAAAGCAGCAGTCAGAAGTACACAAGGCAGTCTAAATGCAAGCCTTCAGCACAAAAAGTCAAGTAACCATATCTTAATGGTATATTGATCAAAAATAACATCAATATTATTTTTAATATATTTATTTTTTACAATTTGTGATTGTAAACAAGTTTTTGTTGCTTAATTATTATATTTTCCTCCTCTCAATTACATTAAATTGCATAATTTTTTTGGTTTATCCCTTTATGGGTAGCAGTTGCCTTTATGATAGATCAATACATACGATTTGCAACTAAATTTTGGAGTTATTTTCGTAGAGAGTGCATCGGCAAACCACGCCCCACTGCTCCACATTCGTCCCAAGACACTCAAGGAAATGTATTCAATTATATGATAAGCGAATGTACAGGTCCAAGTTTCGCTCCGCTCACCTTTCTTTCTCCCCGAACGCGTGCCTAGCAAAAAGGTTGCAGGTCCCTTGGGAGCGAGCAGGGTATGCAACACGCGTGATGCATCAGTTGTGCTTTGCGAGTTATGCAGCGGGCGACCTCGTTTGCGAGCGCGACAGGCAAAGAGAGGAGCTTCAAAGCGGCTAGACCGGCTAGAGAGAGAGAGAGAGGACGTTTGAAATCAAGGCAAGTGCTTAAGCTGAGATCTTTGAGCGCCGACTTTGCATGCAACTGCCGGCTTTCATGTTGCGAAGACGAGGCACTGGATTTCGCACAACACGCTCAAATAGCTTGCTGCCGGAAAATTAAAGATGATGCATTGTAACATCAAGTCAAAGCCGCGTTGCTTTCAGCTTTTGAAGCTTGTATATTAAGCTTTCAAAACAAAAAGCTGCAATGTATACGTTTGAAAATAATTTTATGTAAATTACACAATTTCCATTATACACTTTCTGATTACATGATATTTTGTCAAATAATTAAATTTTCGCATAATTTTGTCTAAATTTCTTTTTATAAATGAGCAACCTATACGAATTATGTTTTAAGTTGCGTTGTGATAATAGTGTAAATAATTTACTATTTTGAGGAAAATATTGGTCTTCATAAAAAAAAATCAAATTGCTTTTTGAATAGTGCACTTTAAAGATTCAAAGAAAGATTGTAAAGAATTTAAAAAAAGCGATCGAGGCAAAATTTCTAATAAAATAGAATCAATAAACAAAATATTCTGAAGGAAAAGTAATTGCCTTTCGTATTTTCTTTTCAAGTCAGTCATAAATTTGCCGATTGAATTGCAAAATTTCCCCATGAACAGATTGCAGCCGGGTTCTTGCGATATTTAATACCGTATTAAGTGAGGCGCAAGAAATAAGACGGATCGAGATTGCAGCAGAAAGAAGTGGGTGACGAGGCAATTGAAAAGCGTCCCCATTCACTATATTGCTCCGCTCGCACGTTCTTTCAAACACTTAATTCAGATATTGCGGCAGCTGGTGCGCCCTGAAAGACGCACTCTCTACCCTCTCGGCCTTTAATTGGACGCACGTGGTGATTAATATTTAGCAAGAGATGCACTCTCTTAGCCGAGTCTGGTGAGAGGCGCAAAAATGGGTCAAGAAAAAGGAAAGAATTCTGCATATTCATGAGAGAGCATTCCGCACTCGCGCGAGCAGAATAAGAAGCAAGGTGAGTAATGACGTGTCGCACCCGAATTGTGTAAACATTTATAATGCGCCAAAAGAAACAAATGCTCTCCGATCTCGAGAGCAATTTGTCTTCAATTACGTCGGCGAATTGAAATTCGTCGCTCTCACGCGACCCCAGCCAGCAACACAGCAATTTTACTCCGTCTTGATTACGTAGCGAGGAAAAAAGAGCGGAAAGCAACGAGCGGACATTTTAATAATTTCCTCGTGTGTTTTAGCTCGCAGAGTTAATCAGACACGTCAGCAGAAACTTGTTCTCTTCGTGCAAGTTCTATATCAGATTTTCCGCGTGGGCACAACTTCATGTTGTTTTAAATTAACGGCATGTTTTTATTCTTTTAAAAAATAACAAAAATTCTGCTGCTCTTTTTCCATCCCGGGAAAGATGCGTAGGAAGATAATAAAAATGTGGTAAAAAAGTGAAATTTTCATCCGCCCGTGTATTAAATTTGCGACGCGCTCGGCGTAATCGGCCGGGAAACAAAATAACCGCCCATTGAGCCGCTAATGGTAGATTGAGCCTCTCAAAAAATATAAAAAGGCTTTCAGAGCGGAGAACGCGCGGCGGCGGCATATTATGTGTCTCTTCACATGCTGCTCACAAAGGCGGCTGCCGCTCGCTCTCTATATCCTATCTGCCGGCACTTAAGAGGATCTTTTGTTTAAAAATTGTAAAAGCTACTTAGAGGATTAAGAGTCGGGCAGCAGCCAACAGAGAGCTGCATCCATCGCCCGTTCTCTCTTGCATAACCCTTTCTTTTCTTACCTCGATAAGTCAGCTTGCTGAATGCGCTCGTCAGCACTCGCAACTCCGGATTAGGGATGTCTCCAACCTAAAAGGAACGATCTGTTTAAGAATGTTGTAACATTTTTTTTTATGTAAAAACAATAGTAAGAAGAGAGCAACTGTGGATGACGAAAAGAATCTAACTTTATTTTAGAATTCTATTATTTTCGTCACAAAGTCAATTATGTTTGATTATGCAACCTGCATGACATGATTGTTGAACAGGTTGCATTTTAATATAACCAATTTTTATCATGAATATTAACTGTAAACAAAATTAATACAAGCTTCAAAATATGAATTTTATTCAGAACTAAGAAAACCCTAAAACGCCTCTTGACCCAGAAATTGTTAAACGCCGCCCACTAGTCTCATGACAATAAAAGGAAAAATTATCACCAAATGTGGACAATAAAAAGGCCGCTGGCCCACCAGCAAAAGCCAGGCGTGAAAAATTTAGTGGAACGGGCGCCGGGCTAATTGTCAGCGCGAGCGGTGTTTGCACATTAAAAGGACCATAAAGCAGGCGCTAATGTGTTTATAAGCGAGCGTGCTGTGTTTACCTGTAGCATGAGCGAGATGGCCGCGATGCCGTGTGGTCGTAGCTGCGCCTCGGTCATGTTCCGGTACAGTTCGCTGTTGTAGCCGTACAGTTGCAGCTGCCAACACAAAACAGACCTTGTTAATTAAGCAGAAAAGCCAAAACGGTTCTACAGTGTATTGCACTCTCAGAAACACAATGGATTGGTCCACACTAGGTAGAAGCAATGTTAATTGGGTTTTTAAAAACTGCAAAGGATAAATTTTGAGTTAACTTATTTGACAAATAGACCTTTTTCATTAAGGCAACAATGGGATTCGCAGGCACAAAAACAGCACTTTTTGGAGGTGTCAAAACGCGACGTTCCGTGCTTCCCGACGTCTTTCTCAGGTCAGTGGTCACCAAATCGCAAAAATCTGGGCATTTTCGGCATCCTCATGAAACGAGCTTTCCGCCGGTGTGCCGTTTTTTGCTCCGAACAGTCGCGTTCTTTTCAAAGCTCAGAGATACGACCAAGAATTTTTTCAAAATTTGACCGTTTTCAAACGCAAATTTATCCCAGAATTCTAATTTGACACGCAATAAAATGAACACCGTTGGAAAGCTCGTTTCTTCTAGATTCAGAATCCTGAAGCGCGCACCATTCCTTTGAGTTTGCCCTATCTCTTTTTGTCCGAGAAGCACCCCTCCTCCGGCCCTTTTTGCGTCAATTTTGATTGTTGATTGCGACTCGGTTGAACCCTGACCCGGGCCACGTCAGGTCAAAAATATGTTATGAAAAATTAATGAAAATCAATAAAAAGTTGGAAAATTAAAGTTAAAGAGTTGCTTAAAATAACTATTTCAATGCCATAATTTATTTCACACGGACGCCCGAGATATAAAAGGGTTTGTGAGGAGTACTCCCATTTCAATTGTGATTTTTTTAGAAAGAAAAACTTAATACAAAAGTTGTAGTTAAAGACATGTTCTTTCTTTTTGCAATTGTATATGTGTCTGTAAAAAAATTTTATAATTGAGTAAAAATGGAAGAAAATAAAAATTTAACTTTTTGGACACGAAGAAAATTTTTAAGATTTTTTTGAAGATAGCCAATCGATTTAGCATGTCTTCATTAGTCTATGACCAAATTTTCGTAAATAAATTCGCAATACTTACAAAGTTATTGCAAAATGATTGCCGGCACCTCTTTCATTTAAAAACAGAGACACGACCCTTTTGAATATTTTTGCAATAACTTTGTAAGTATTGCGAATTTATTTACAAAAATTTGGTCATAGACTAATGAAGACATGCTAAATCGATTGGCTATCTTCAAAAAAATCTTAAAAATTTTCTTCGTGTCCAAAAAGTTAAATTTTTATTTTCTTCCATTTTTACTCAATTATAAAATTTTTTTACAGACACATATACAATTGCAAAAAGAAAGAACATGTCTTTAACTACAACTTTTGTATTAAGTCTTTCTTTCTAAAAAAATCACAATTGAAATGGGAGTACTCCTCACAAACCCTTTTATATCTCGGGCGTCCGTGTGAAATAAATTATGGCATTGAAATAGTTATTTTAAGCAACTCTTTAACTTTAATTTTCCAACTTTTTATTGATTTTCATTAATTTTTCATAACATATTTTTGACCTGACGTGGCCCGGGTCAGGGTTCAACCGAGTCGCAATCAACAATCAAAATTGACGCAAAAAGGGCCGGAGGAGGGGTGCTTCTCGGACAAAAAGAGATAGGGCAAACTCAAAGGAATGGTGCGCGCTTCAGGATTCTGAATCTAGAAGAAACGAGCTTTACAACGGTGTGCATTTTATTGCGTGTCAATTTTGAATTCTGGGATAAATTTGCGTTTGAAAACGGTCAAATTTTGAAAAAAATTCTTGGTCGTATCTCCAAGCTTTGAAAAGAACGCGACTGTTCGGAGCGAAAAACGGCACACCGGCGGAAAGCTCGTTTCATGAGGATGCCGAAAATGCCCAGATTTTTGCGATTTGGTGACCACTGACCTGAGAAAGACGTCGGGAAGCACGGAACGTCGCGTTTTGACACCTCCAAAATGTGCTGTTTTTGTGCCTGCGAATCCCATTGTTGCCTTAATGAAAAAGGTCTATTGATATTGCAGATAAAAGTTGAAATCTTTAAAGATTTACAGCTAAAGTCTGCGATTATAGGAGTTTGTTTCTTAAAACCTGATTAAATAACGATCAAATATTTATATTTTTTTTGTATCAACAATGAATATTTAACAAACAAAAATTATTATGCTTTCTCACTTTGTTTCATTTTTTTCCATATCCAGTTAATCTTTAAAACATAAATAATTATAATTATACAAAACAAAAATAAAGTACAATGCTAATACTATAGGAAAATATCCAAACTAGATTAAACAAGCAGGAAATATATTCATTACATTTGTACATTATAATGGCAGTAATATTGATTAAGTCGATGCTACTAAAACAAAACAGTAAACAAATTTTAATTTATGAATTGTGCTATTCAAGTACATGGCTTAAGGTGTATCCAGAATGAGTGGCTGATAATTACGCGTTATAATTAATAGCCCGTTGGCCTTTATGATAATGCAGCCTCTCGTTCTACAGGTGGCTGCCAAGAGTTCGCCTTAATTCTCCTGAAAGTGGCGGCCTCCGTCGCTGCTTTTTATTGGTTCGCGGGCACTAAATAAACTCGACCCTTTGGCGCCGCTGCACAAAGAAGTCCAACTTTTAGTGCTGCTGTTTGCAATTTTATCACCGCTAATCGCACGAGATTTCCCTCCAAGGTAAACTCTCTTTTCCAAGGCTATTTTTGTTTGCAAATCTATCATGTTGTGATGTAGCTGACAAAATTTACATTTATCCATTTCCAGCTCGCCAGATTTGCACATATCAGTGAGCATTGACATTTCAGCCTGGCAGAGGCAAAAGTTTGTCGATGCAAGATAAATGCATCCTTTCGCGAAATACATAAAAATGGAAATTCGCACCGATGGCTTGGTATAAATAAATAGGGCGAGCCCGAGAAGTGTGGCATGTGGAGCGCATGCAAAAATAAATAGCTAGTCGGCTGCCATCTCTGGAAAAATTCAAGCATGCAGGCGCGCATGAAAAATTCATGAAGTCGATAGTTTATGGCTCTCGCAGGGTGAGTTAGGACTCACTCAGGCCCTCGATGAGAGTGACTGAATGCACTTGGAGTGCACAGGTGGGCTTGATCAGCTAAGTGCTTCACCTCGTTCAGCCCCATTTAGCGCCACCGTGTCTGATACGCAAATTATTACACGCTTCCGTGCAAGCAAGAAGTGGACGCTCTCCGTCTCCGCGTTCGCAAAATGAAAAGTTGAACTCCTTTCTGCAGGTCACTTGTATTAAAAGTACTCTGCACTTTTCTGAACGGCTTTACAAACAAACTTCCATAATAATAAATTAAAATACATACATTAAATATGATGCTTAAATTACCTGATCTTGTGATAGATGAAATGAAATGCACTTCAAGTTATTAAAAACGAAGAAAAGTGAAAGTGATCCAATATGTAATATTTACGAGAAAATAATACAAGAATAGAACTTAAAGTTATCATAACATTTCTTTATCAGCTTGTTAAAATATTTTCTTAATGCATTTTAAATAATTTAAAACTACCATTTATAGCGAGTTCTTATTTTTATTTAAATTTTTATTTTATTAATTAATCTACATAAAAAACAAGCAAGTTAAAATTAACAAAATATATTGATCCTAAAATATTTAAAAAGTCGTATTTTATGTAACGGCTGCGCCATTGCAATTAATACAGAAAAAATACTAAATAAGATCGTTCCTATTTTCATTATGGGTGATTATGGGTTGCAAATAAGGCAGATTTCACTTTTGATTTCATAAATTACGAATTGCGTTATCAAAGAATGAACTTTAAATTTTAAATATTCATAATATTACGCTATTCATATTTTTAAAGTTATTTGAAAACGGCAAAAATAAATAGCATTTAAATTTTTAATCATATTATATAATATTTTTATGAAAGAAAACAACTTACATTTCCGTAGTTAATAAATAGTTGTGTTATTTTATCGCTTTCAGAATGAAAGGTCATCTTACTTTATTTTAAAATATGTAAGGTTAACTCATTTTTAAATATGCCAGACAGTTAAAAAAAATAAAAGATTATGGGTAAAATTTAATGAGGCGTGAATAATTTATAACTCGAACAAAATTTACAATTTGTATTTTAAAATCTTCTGCCATTTTATTTATATTGTACAAAAAAGATAAAACGGGCGATTTTCAATTTACTCATGCAGATTCCCCTGTCGATTTATAAGTTACTCGTACGTTAAGACACGTAGTACCTTTAGGGAGAACTGCGGTGCTCAAAGGGGGGCGCCTGAAAATGACAAAATCTGTTGCCACGTTGGCGTGCGTGGCGGATACGGAGAGAGTGAAAAAGGCAGAATTGTCGCCCAGGTCACGCATGCTAATATTCGCGATTCCGCGCGGGCAACTCAATGATTTCCTTCCCTCCACCGGCAGCGGCGGCTGACTCGATTTATGCACAAAACTCTATCTTGCGCTTGCTGAGTAAATACGCCACTCGAGAGCGCGCCCACCCACCCTCCCACCTTGCCTGGCCCAGCCACCCCCTACTTGTCGCTTGAACTTTTATTTATGGATGCACGGCGCCTTGAATTTTTTATTCTCGGTGGGACGCTGGGAGCGGCGCATAAAAATGAACTCGGGACGAGCGAGTTAAGCGCGCGCGTTTTGCTTGCTTATTTCTATGTTGCTTTTCGCTAAAGTCGTATAATTCAGACAATTTCAGCAGCAGCTGTTGAAAAACTTTAATTCCACATATTTATATTTAAATACAACCGTTTTATTATAAGAATCATTAATTTAACTGAAGAAATAAATTCCACGCTGCAAAAAGATTAATAAAATTTATTTTTTGCAAAAGTTTAGACCCGAAAGAAATTTTATAGGAAGGGGGAGATAGTAATATTAAAAAAAAAAATACTTTTAAGATTTGATTTTATATCATTATGCTTGCAGAAGAAAAATAAAATGAAAATAAAAAATAAACATGCCTGAATCAATTTAAAAGATAAAAATATAAGCAGATCTAACTTTTTTTAGTTACTAATTAATTGAATTAAGATTCTATGGGAATACAAACATGCTTTTTTATTGAAGAAATCCCTTTCTTGTATACTTCATTAGAGCATATTTATTTCCAAGGCATCTGTTGTTACTTTTGTCTTTATATTTTTATAATTTAATGATCTTCACAGAGAATGCATGACACGCGAGTTGTTTCTGAGAATAGAAGAGCTTGCATCTATAAAAAAATGTAGGACAGACCAGGTAGGCGATGCATCAACCCCCGACTTGGATAGTTAGCCGCGCAAATAAAAATAGGACGAGAGCGTCATTTGCCGAGTGCACGTCTCCGCGTGTAATTTATCAGCTTTACGCGCCGCGAGCATCATTGACTCGCTGCCTGGGTCAACGCCTTCTGCTCAAAGCAAGGGGTTGCAGCTGCAGGGTTTACTCTTTTAAATTAATTACGCGCTGCTGTCGGCGAATTTCTCTCGCCTCGCTTCACGCTTCTGTAAATTGTCCCTGCCGACGAGTTGATGGTGAAAAAGAGCTCATCACCCCACTCCTTTTTATTTTATTTTTACTGATGCGTCGTTGCAAAGGTTTCATTGATTTTTCTAAAAGATTTTTTTAATAATCGTCATTACATAAATAAGTATTTGCTTTGAATATTGATTCAACCAATATTGACGCACGAGGAGAGGAAACTAAATTATTTAACGTCCTGGGAACGTTGAATGTCAAATGCTGACATTTGAGTAGTTTTCGAACCAATGCTTTTATCCTCTAAATTGCTATAAAATAAAAAATTTTGTTCCTGTGAAACGTTAGCAGCACTATCTGCAATCGCGGCTTTATTCATTTGAGCGTAGCACACGTGCAAGTGCAAACAAAAAGCAATCAGAGAGAACACAACAGTGGCGGCAGCGTTGGAATAAACCGAATTCACAGGTGGATTGAAAATCATTCACCAGTCTGGAAAGTGAAACAAACTGCTATTGATTATTAACGGCCATTTCACAGACAGTAATGATAAAAAAGCAACATTGATGGACGTGTTTCTTGCGGATAAAAGCAAATGGATTTAGTTTATAAATAATAAAAGGAGGATATTAAAAAAAATGTCTATACTTAAACTTCATTGTACTTAATTAATATATTGTTTTGTACAGCACTTTTCATCTTGTGAGATATTTGACATGTACAGTATTGTCAATTGCAAACACTATTTTAATTATAACAATGGTTGGAGGGTAATGTAATTTATTTAAATTTGCTCTCTGTGCACAAAAAAATAATTTATTTTTATTAATTGTACTAAAATTTTGTAAAATGTCAAAAGAAATATTATTTGGTTTAATTATATAACAGAAAAAAATATAAGCGATCTATTTTCAAATTTTTTTTATTTTATTAAATAAAATTTTTACAAGGAAAATTGCTTTTATATATACATAAAGCTTTAAATAACAAAGATTGATTATTAGTTTTTATCTCGTTTATCTGACTGGGACAGGGACGTTCAACAATGTGCAATTTTTTTCTTGTCGCGTTCTTTCCACTGATAAGTCTACGTTGGTTGCTGTTTTGCATTCAGCGACAATGCAGATGACAGTCAAGCAGTACTTTAAATAAGCTTTTGTCGACAGCACACTCTGTTAATCGTTAATTTTCAGGCAGGTATGCGCGGAATTCAAAATCGCGCAGCACAGTAGCGGATTTGTTATTTATGCAGGCGAGCGCGCACTGAATTAAATCTCTGGCCAGACACACAAACGTGACGAATAAAACTCTAGGGAAAATCGCATTTTACCACAGCCGTCTCCCAGTTGCATTTATGCAAAAGAGCTTCCTATCGATGCTGTTGTGCATTTATTAAAGCTACATTAAACATCAGTGATGAATAGAATATTAAATTTATACTATGCTAAACTGTTAAATAAAGTAAATTTCAATAAGAATTGTTTTTTTTTTAAGACTCGTAAGAATTTAAAAAATAAAATTTTATAAATTTTTTAGCAAATAAATTTAAATAAAATCAATTTAAAGCAAATCAATGAAATTTATCAAATATGAAGGATCCATTTTTAATTAGGTTCTATAATAATAATTAATAATTATTACGAGAGGATGCAGATGAGAGCATAAAATTCATTTAATAACGGTTTTGTTTTAATTTGGCTTTTAGGGGATAAAGGTGATTTGGCAAATAATAGTAATAAAATAAAAACTTAAAATACAAGCCTAAATTAAAAGTTGTTCAAAAATATGGAAAAAAGAAAACCATAGATGCTTTGATCCACTTGCAATAATTCAATAGTGTCAAAAAAATTGTCAAATCCTCATTCTTTGTGAAGTTTAGGCGATTAACTGGCAAATCCTTTAGACATCAAGCACTAGAAGGCTTTATACAATTAAGGAAGAAGCTGACGAGATAAATTACATCTCAAAACAGCTTTCCAAATCCTAATTAGGCGGCAAACGCAGCCACACCGTTTCATTAGCTTCCGCTTACTTAAGAGAGTCAAAGTGTCAACCGTCAAGGGTGGCGTTTGCTTCTCAAGGGTGACGAAACTTTCATCCCCAAGGGCTGACATTTGAATGACGCGCGACCAGAGCTTCTTAAATAATTGACAGCAAAGCGCGAACAAGTTCTCCATTCTTGTCATCTCAATCAAAGATCAGATTCATGCAGTTTATTAAACAAATACATTAACAGATGAAAGGATCATTACTTAAAATTGACAAAGTGCCAAAAATATTAGCATAATACTTAACACGGAGCATCTTACTTAGGATCTGCAATAGCATTTGAAATGAAGTATGCAATTATGCATATGTGCATATCTCAATACACTTAGCTCATTATACTCTGTATATCAATGTACAATTTTTAGAAAAAATGTATAAAATTGTAAAAAATAAAATTTAAACAAACTTAATTCAAAATAATTTTGAAAATAAATTTCAATGACAAAGAACTCAATACAGAACAAAGTTATTATTTTTAAAATACAACTGCTTAAAATAAATTTTTTTTAAACCTAAAAATATAACAAAAATTATTACAAAATTATATTTACTAAAATTATGAAACATTTATCTTTTCTGTGGTAAATAAAAAATCTGATTTGAGGCCAAGAGTGTTTTAAAAGTGAGTCTTCATATTTTCAAAAGCATCTCGTAATTACTTCGTGATTAAAATCAATCCATATTTCGCGCACCCGTAGCCGATTGGGAAGACCCCCGGGACTAGAATGGGGTGCATTTTGGACGGACAGTCAAACAAGGCCGGATTAAGTGGCCTGACCACACCCTGTCGTGCAGCCTACGGTAATTAATTTCGCTCTCACCTCGGCCGGAAATGCGTGTCCGTGGATTCGGTGCTCGGAGCCCTGGTGGTTTTCGGCGCCGTAGTGGATGTAGATTTCCTCGAATTGGTATCTGTAGGCGAGGGGCCCTCCGGTGATGTTGACGTGGTGTTTCGTGTCGCCGTCCACCCGCATCACCAGCGATTGGCCCGTGTTCCAGAGGGTGCCGCTTATCTGTGGGCAAATGCCGACCAGAATTATTGGCGTCATCGCTCTGACAGATCATTTTCATGCAAATGAATTGTAATTACAACTTATTGAACTCCATTTGCAGATGAACATATTTTACTTATTAATTTTAAATCTTTTTTAACAGTGGGATGATTGTAAAAATTTATATCAAATTTAAAATACCTATTAATATTTTACTTAAATGAGAGTTCGTCTTAAAAATTACGATCAGATTTTTTGCCTTCAAATATTGTGCGCCATATTAGAGCTTAAATATAAAGAGAAATATTAAAAAGTGTCAAATTTTGGGGAAAGTTGGTTGATTTAACTATTATTTACTTTCAAACTGTTAAGTTTAAAATAAAATAAAAAAATGGAACAAGAGCGTCGTTTCCGGGTCTAATAAACTTTCAGGAATTTTGAATCTAATAAAAAAGGAAACGAGAATTCTTCTAGATTAATTCTACAAAAATCATCATTAGCAAATAGCATGGGTTGGAAAGATCAGTCAGTTGGAATATAAATTTATTAATTATATTATAAATAAATAAAATACACTCTTAAATATTTGCCTTCGCTCACTTCCTTCAACAATAAGCTGAATATAATATTGATCAGTCAGATTTCATTCAATTTTTCCTTTGCAACATTCTCTTTTAATCATCTCCCGCCTGACGATTAACCAAATCACTGAGATGAAGAGAGAGGCCGTAATCTTAATTAAAGCTTTGCACGCTGGTTTGCTGGCTCTCGTCTCAAAGTTTTAAGGAATTTAATTTCCTTCCACACTTTACGGTATAACACGATCTTCATTCATTTCTCGCTGCAAGTGAAACGACACTTACTCGGTACGTGAACGTTATCAGATCTTTGAGCAACGCGAGCGAGACTTCCCATTGAAAGCCGAGGAAATTAAGAGATGAGACGAGACGGCCCTTGAACGCCAAATAAGCCCATTAACTTGAAATAATAAAATGTGAGCGGGACCCTTTCTTGTTTAATCAGCTTTCCTCTCTCTCTCGAGATCCTTTACTTGGCGCCGGGATTAAATTAGAGAAGAATCTGCTCGCACCTTTCTTTTGTGCGTGGCCCGTTCGGAGCGACTATCAAATCTGAGATCTCATTGCAAAGACAAAGGACCTTTTTGATGCCAAAGGAAAACAAAGCAAAGAGTTTCAATTATAATCACTGCTTTGAAAAGTAAGTCTTGTCTTCATTTTAATCAAATTAATCCGGCAGGGATGCGCTCCACTTTGAATAGGGTTTCTCGTGTCTTACCTTGTGCTTGTCCACGTGGATGGCCGTCAAGTGTGGGTCGAAGAGCAGAGCCGAAGGTTCTATGTTGACCGGCGACTGCCGCCTACCCTTGTTGCACAAACTCCACTGTGGGTTGATCAGCCCCCAAAAAGCCGGACCTGTCAACAGAGAAAAACGGCATTATTAAAAAACCGTCGCTTCGATTTTGCATTGATCGCGGGGACGCGACGCAAATCCAGTCGCCGTCGCGCAAAAAGTCACTAATTAACGTCAGCTTTTGAGCCACCCCGTGCCATTTGCTGTGCACGCTCTGATGGGCTTTTGTGTTTGCAGAGAGAGGATTTTCCGCCGTTTGTTCCGCTCTGTGGGGGTGGTTTGGTTTTGCGGGGTTCCAGTGGGTAAAATTTGAATGTAGATTTCTCATTATTGCTATTTTTCAGTACATGGTGAAGAAGATTTATTTACAGAAATTATTTATTCTTACTTTGGTGTTATTTTGAAATTTTAATAAATTTTTAATTTAAAATTAATATTTGAACACTTGAAGTAATAAAACATTCACAGTAAATTAAATACAAAATTTATGAGAGTATATCCTTGACAGATAATCGATTTCATAAATAAAAATATTAAGTCGTTTCATTAATCCTCAATATGTTGAAATATGAAATTATAATGTGTAAATTTATTGTAAAAAAGAAAAACGAGTATGAATTAAAATCATTATTTTGTGTAGAAGAGAGTTCATTTACACCAAAAGAGTATATAATAATATTAATCACTTTTCCACAAAAATATAACTAGCATGATTATTTGGCCTCCCATTAAATATTTCCATGACGCTGACCTAGAAAAGCGCAAATTCGCTGGCGACAGGTTAATAAAAGCGTAACTGCAACACGCTGAGGTAATAACACTGGCTCAAATTTGCGCACACAGGACGGTGAATGAATGTGTACCTCCGTGCAGGAAATGAGTCGGCGTGCAATTCGTGCAACATGAATTCTCATTTGCCGAACCACAATGAGCTGGGCAGGGGAGGAAAACCAGTAGCCGTAAATACTCGGCACCGTCGGGCGGCGGTCAAAAACCGGTCAAACAAATAAAATCCTGCTCTTTCCCACAATATTTTTTGAATCGGAGGTAGAAAGAGAGAGAGAGAGAGGAAGAGAGATAGAGTGAGAGAAAGCTTGTTTAATAATCATCGAATGATGAATGCACATGGAGCGAACTTAATCCCAGAACCGATGACAGGCACGCGCACATATTGATGTTTTATCCCAGCGGCGAGCGGTGATCGTGTGGCGGCCGGTTTCAATTTACAGTTTCATTAGAGAATTTGTTTTTCAATCAGAGTAGCGTGTGTTTGCATAAAGGGTTTGTTATACGGAGAGGGATAAAAATCCGTCGCTGGCGCTGCGAATATTCCAATAAATCGCCGCCGCCGCGCGTCGATATTTTTGCATAATGAATCGCGTTGCCTGCTGCGATTTTGATTTGCGTGTGTTCGACTGCGGCATTAATTAAGGCGATCATTATATTTCGCGCTGCTCTCGAGTCAGCCGCTCGAAAAAGCTCCGCTGCGACGACTGAAAAGTGGTGCTCCAGCGGCTTAATAAATTCTCCCTGGGCTCCGCTTGGATTTAATTTACTTTATTACATCGTTAGCGGTATGCTTCTCGTTACCATAAATATTCGCAGGCACACCAGCCCACTTGCAGCCGGTTGCATTTTAATTTTTTATTCTTTCACTCTCTGAGCTAATTGGTGTGAGCTTTACTTTGCCTACAAAAGGAATGTTTTTTATCATCGATATTATATGAAATAATATATATTTTATATCTACAGATCCTCCTTTTTATTTAAAACCTAAAAATTCTGTATCATCAAATTGACTTTATATTTATTTCTTTATTTATTCTCCATTCAGATAAAATGAAATTCACAACATCTTACATCAAATCAATAAATAAAAATTAAATTAAATTAAAAATTTATCAATAATCTTTTTAAAAATTGGGTTAGTTAAATCAAATGGGGGGATATAAATTATTGTTGTAATAATTCTGTATATTTAATAATACTTTTCCTTTAAATTAAGCTCTGAATAAAATAAAAAACGGAAACAATGATGATTTAACTCATTTAATAATTTAATTCCCTAAGAACTGAAGGGAATATAATAAATAATACCACAGCCTAATTCAGACACATTTAACTAAATTTCATCATTGTTTGTATAAAAAGTTTTACAAACTCCAATTGGTAGATTTTTCTTTTAATTCAGCATTGCTTTAATTCTAATGTAAATCCATCACAAGCATTGAAGCAAAAACAAAACGCATCAAACAAAAATTTGCAATTCGCAGATGCGCGTCAAATCCTACTAACAAGTTAATCCGGAACATTTAAAGCACCCTTTGTCCTTTCTTCGTCCGCCAAAAGCAATTAAAGTCTCCAACGGCAATTACCCTAATCGACCCCACAACTTTGGAACGGCCGAAACCACTTGGCGTAATTGTGTTTGTGGAAAAAGATAATGCTCATTTTAGAGGCCGGTCGGTATACGGCGAGAGAACAAAACTCAAATCGTTCCCCAGTGGATTGTTTTGTCGGAATGTGCAGGGCAAAAAAAATAACACTGAGAGACTGAGAGAGACCAGAGCCCAGGTAAGGTACTACACAAAGAGCACAAATGTCGCTCCCCAAGGACGGGGAATTTGCACATGAAAGACAAGAAGCGCGGCGTTGAAAAAAGAATGAGATTCTCTTGGCGGAAAAGAAAAGAGAAAATTCAGTGCCCTCGCGGGCGATGATAATTTGATGACGTTCTCAATATCTCCCTTTCGCACACCCTTTTGCGTGCATGTGTCTGACGAGATGTACGCAAGCAAGGCCTCTTCTCTCTCCTTTGACTCGGCGCGCGAGAGCAAACACATTAAAGGCAACGTTAGAAATTCATAACTGCAGGCATCACCTGGAGTGCTCGGCTTACTTACCGCCGAGCCAAGGGAGGCGCGAGACTTTCGGCTCTTAGAGAATATTAATTAGGCTGAAATTCTCGGCAGGTGCGCGCATCTCTCAAAAAAGACGCGCCTCTCCACGCACAAGTTTGTTCCTCTCACCCGTATATTTTAATTTTGAGAACGTGCACGTCTGATTCCCTTTGAGAGCGGACGCAAGGGTTTTGTTTGCCCTCGTGTAATTGGACCCTAAACACATTTTGCCCATTCGCTTCGGCAACTTGTGCGAACATTCAATTCAGCTCACAAGAATGCATAATTCTTAATGTATGTAATTATGTTTTACAATAAAAATGTATTTTAAAGAGAGCAAAACCACTAGGATTTTTTTGCTCTGCGGTTTCATATCACATTTCCCGGCAAATATTGGTGTAAGTGTCACAAATTTTGGCGGGGGAAACACGCAATAACAAAATTTGAAGGTTGGAGAATTTCATGTGTTATCGGTTCCTTTAAATTTTGTATAAAAATCAGAGGGTGTCTGTCAGATAGCACACAATCATCAAACATGAGTTCTCCTGCTGTAAAATCGCCATTTGGCGCCTTTGGCATCAAACTATACAAGGTTAGTTTTAGATGCGCCGAATTATATAATATTTTTAGGAATTAATCAACACTCATTATACCAATAAGGTATTACAAGAGACTGAGGGAAATGTTGTGGCCTCTCCAATCAGTGCTTTTATTACCCTTGCCATGGCCCTTAACGGTGCTCGAGGAAAAACGGAAGCAGAGATGCTGCAAATACTTCAACTTCCTGCTAATAGAGAGGAAGTTGCAGATCTTTTCTATTCAGTCATCAATAGCTTGAAAGTAATATTTGATATACAAAAATTATTACATGGAAATAATTAATTTCGTATTAAAATTGAAGAACACAAAGGGCGTGGAAATGAAACTGGCAAACAAGGCCTACATTGATGATGATTTTGAAATAAAAATTGATTATGTTGCTACCCTGGTAAAGTCATTTTTAACAACTCTGGAAAGCGTCAACTTTAAAAACGCTGGTGCAACAACAAAAATTAATGACTGGGTTGCCGACGCTACTAACCAAAAAATTATAAACCTTTTTCCAGGTAAGTTATAGAAAACCTTTTCTATTTAAACAATAATTAATGTATACAACGGTTTTCAATTCAGAGCCATTAGACCTGACCACCAGACTTGTTCTTGTCAACGCTCTGTACTTCAAGGGCGACTGGAAAAATCCATTTGATAGGACCAAAACGACAACTGCCCCATTTAAATCGGCTCTTGGTGGCAATGTAGACGTGCAAATGATGTCACACAAAGCTAAATTTGTTTACAAAAAATTGGAACAATATGACGCACAACTCGTGGTTCTGCCATATGAAGTATGAAATAGTTAACAGCAAATTTTTCACCCTTATAATTATTGCAAACTAATATTATAGGGTGGAGAATTGAGCATGGTTATCATTTTGCCCAAAGAAGAAGATGGTTTGCCCAATTTGGAATCGAAACTGGGGGTGGAGGATTTGCCTACTCTGCTTGAAGGTGCCAAAGAGTCTCCAATTAATCTTTTGTTGCCCAGATTCAAAATTGAGAGCACCCATGACTTGAAAACAATCTCTCAAAAGGTTTGCAATCATAAATAGAATTAATGAAATTGATTTTCACAATTAATTTTATTAATAGCTTGGTTTGAAACTATTATTCGGAGGAACTGCTGACTTCAGTGGAATTACTGATGAAAAAGTGAATGTCGATTCATTTGTGCAAAAAGCTTATTTTGAGGTTAATGAAGAAGGCGCTGAGGGATCAGTATCAAGTGGTAATAGATTCTTCTCAATATTTATGATCACCATTAATTGATTATTAAATTTTCTACAACTCTTAGGAATTTCGTTCAATTTTAGAGCGGGCCTGCCTACAATGAACTGCAATCATCCGTTCTTGTACTTCGTATTATTCAACGGATCTTTCACTTTATTTGGAGGACGTGTAGCAACACCAGCCTAGTCAATGGCAAAATGGAAATACTGTATTGAATATTATTCTATGATATTATATGTACTACATATTTCAAATTTCTTTTCTTGTCCAATAAAATATTAATATTTTTTTAAATCACATAATAATATGTCATTTGCAATGAGAACGGTTTAATCACTATATCACGAATATTTTTGTGCGCGCTATCATAACAAGTGATATTAATTTAATTTTAAATAAAATGTTTCAACTGGCTATCATTTTATCATTGCATATTTTAAATGAAAATTTATAAACCGAGTTTTAATGCATACTCAAAAACACTAAATAAAGTATGTTTTCAATTATTGCCTTTCTGCAAGCCAGTATGTATTCAATATAGATGCAATAATGTTACTCTCACATAATGCTTACGGGTGGTCAGAAATATAAGTTTATTAGTAAAATAATTTTACTGCAAAATGTCAAAGAAATTAAAATAATATATAAGTGAGTGAGAAAAAAAAATTATTTGAATTTAAAAATACTTTCATTGAATATTATCACCCATAATATTTTTATTTTTATTAATCTTTTTTTAAATGTATTTTTAAATAATGGATATTATATAGTTTGAAAAAATAGCATGAAATTTACATTTTTTTAATTCCAAATAAAAAATTAATAAAATTTATTTTCATTTTTGCTAATATTAGTTTAATCTAATTATTTGCACATTGCTAGTTTGTTTTTTTCCACTCTCCCACCTTGCCTAATCGGATTTAAAACTCATGACACTCATGTTAATATATATTAAGGCTAAAATGTGCATAATTAATTGTATTTGGATTGCTTTCAAATTGGTGTATTGTTAGTTTTATACTGATAAAAGTTTGGTTAAAAGGTTTTTAAAAACAACATAACCGCTCAAAGATTGTTAGAACTTTTTGTGGCTTCACTCTTTTTCCTGACAAATTAAAGACACGGGTTGAGTGACCCCAAAACAAAAAATAGCCAGATAAGCTTCACAATAAAAACAAAATAAAATTTCAACATTATATGGCAATTAATTAGAACTAATATTTTGATGCTAGATAAATTAGTAATATTTTAAATTATTTTAAATAAGTACCATGCCTCAATGCGGGGAATAAGTAAAATATCAAACTAATGGTTATATCAGATTATATAATATTATAGGAATATTTTACAATGTAACAACAAATTCTATTGAGTAAGTTAAAAATACGGCTTTCTATGGTAATTTTTGTCATAGCCTATTTTAGAAACCAATGAAACCATACGCTTCTGGTTGAGTCTTTTTTTGCGGTTTTCCTTTAAAAGTCGCTTGACGTCTTCAGAGCACGTCCAGAAAGAAAAGGTTTTCTCTACTAAACCATCCTACTCGAATATGAGCTCTCCGGTACTGCAATCACCAATTAGTGGGTTTGGTATCAACTTCTACAAGGTTAGTTGTGAATATTAAAAATAAAAATTAAAAATTATTTTTTATTTTAATCAGACTTTGCAAGCTACAGAGGGAAATGTAGTTGCCTCACCCATCAGCGCATATATTGCGCTTGCCATGGCACTTATGGGTGCCCGAGGAGGTACCGAGACGGAGTTACGTCAAGCACTTCAACTTCCCTCTCAGAGAGATGAAGTTGAAAGATTTTTCTTTGAGACCATCAGTGGTTTAAAAGTAAACATTAACAAATATCCACGCAAAATCATAATTTTTTTTCTAATTATAAAGAACGCAAAGGAGGTGAAACTAAAACTGGCCAACAAGGCCTTCATTGCTAGTAATTTAGAGGTCAAACCGGATTACGTTTCATCCCTGGAAAAAAATTTTTTCACGACAATTGAAAGTATCGACTTTACCGCCCCTAAAGCGACTAAAAAAATTAATAACTGGATTGCATGGGCAACAAACCGAAAAATTTTAACACTTTTTGAAAGTGAGCATTAGATACAGATTGATTGAATAAAAATTTTAAATGATATATATTTAAAATATAGATGATTTGCCGCCAACCACCAAGCTGGTGCTCGTAAGTGCACTGTACTTTAAAGGAAAATGGAAACAAGCTTTTAGCAGATCACAAACTGAAACTGCCTCATTCAAATCAGCTGGTAGAAGTTTTAATGTGCAGATGATGTACCAGCAGGCAAAATTATTTTATAAAGAATTAGATCAGTATGATGCAAAACTGGTGATCCTTCCTTATGAGGTATTGAAAAAAATGTATTTCTTACAATGAAAAAAATATGTGATGTGTAGGGCGATGAAATGAGCATGGTTATAGTTTTGCCCAACAAAGAAGACGGCTTGGCAGAATTAGAAGGAAAACTTGGAAGAGGAGATTTGGCAGATTTAATTTCAGGTGTCAAAAGGTCCCTGCTTCAACTCTCAGTGCCCAGGTTTAAAATTGAGAGCACTCACGACCTGAAATCTCTGCTGCAAAAGGTTTTGAAGTTAATTTGCACTTTACGTAAAAATTAATTTAAAATACATTATTTTCTTTTATAAAATGATCAGAATGGCGTTAATTTGATATTTTCAAGAAATGCAAACTTCAGTGGAATTACGGATGAAAATGTGAGTGTCGATTCGATTATGCAAAAAGCTTTCATTGAGGTCAACGAAGAAGGCGCTGAGGCAGCAGCAGCAACTGGTAATAAATTTCAACTATTATTTTTAGCATAATAATTTTACAAAAATTATTCAAAAACCCTCAAGGAGTAACGTTTGTTGGACTGAGTGCACTGCAACCGAGGCAGGTCATTTTCAATTGTGACCATCCATTCTTGTACTTTGTACTATTCAAAAGGTCTTTCACTATATTTGGAGGACGTGTGACCAGCCCAGCCTAAACTTTAAAAAATCTCTTTTTAATTCAATTATTTGAAAACCAAGGTATTATAATTTAAATAAACAAAAAAAAGTATTAAATTTCTGTATTTTTTCAATGATTCTTAATTGACATCAACTTAGTGAAAGGTAAAATAAAAATTAATAATATTTAAACATTAAATTTTAATTTATAGGACTAAATCCTATTAAAATTTTTATTTATTTATTTATAAAATTTTGTCGTATTGTTAAAATTTATAAACTATAACTTTAATTAATAAATTAAATCTTACAAAGTTTTATTAATTACTTTTTGAATATAATTTTTATATAATTATTGTGCGTTTTTTTTTTAAAAATTCTCTCATCCATAGAATAATATTTTTAACAAATAAAAACATTATTATAAAACATTAAAAATGGATACTTAAAATAAAAATATTAAACTTTGTTTATATAATTTTTGTATTAGATTCTCACATAATGATATAGCCTACTTATGCATTGCAACAACATGCAGTGCAAGTGATGCGTTGTATTCGTAGTGCCCCCTCTCCGCCTTTCACTATTTTTTAACCCGTTCGCGCTGCTTTACTTTTTATTCGATAGATGCCGCATTGCTCATTGGAATGAATATTATTGTGTGGTAAGTATGGTCAGTCATATACGGTGCTCAGCTGCAGCTCACGCCTATTTTCCTATCTATCTGTGATGATTGTTGTTATGCGAGCTTCAAGTTTCTGAGATCAGATAATTTGTCGCGAAACGAATCAATTGTTGATACCGTTGTCAGAGAGAGCAACTGAAAGGCGCTGACAGCAAATCGCAAAGTCCATGAGTCCAGCGAGATTACAGCGTTCTTTAGATAAGCATCGATCAATATAAAAGCAGGTATACGTGATTTGTGCCAGGTTTTGTCCTTTACCATCTTTACTTTTCGAACGTGTCAGCTGGAAAAATGGCAACTGACCGGATTAAGACCATCCAGCGCCACTTGCTCGCTCCAAATCTGGTATTTATTTATTTCTATTTATTTATTTATGATTTTTATTTTTTTTCCTTCTTAAGTCCTTGAGACACACTGCTGCATTCGGTGGTCCAGGTCAGTTCCGCTACACCCTCGACAACCCGCTTCTCACTCCGCAACAGAGGGAGTTTTACGAGATCAATGGATACATTGTCATTCCAAATGTTGTCAAGCCTCAGCTCATGGAAGCTTGCTCGTAAGTGCTTTTTTATGATTCTGTACTCTCTGTGCAATATTTAGGTCCATTATCAGAAGGAATTCAATATCAAACAATAACAAAGTCATTTGAATTTTTAACAATAAGGAACAAAGTCCAAAAGCAAAAATATAAATGCGCATATTTTAATTAAATAGAGATAAGATATGTATAAAAAAGAACATTTAACCTTCGTTATGAAAATTTTATTGAAATATTATAATTAAAATTTAATTTATTAAAAATTCAGGCGGAGATTTATTGACCTGTGCGAAGGGAAATTTGACAAGGGTTCGATGACTATGATGAAAGACGTGTCTCTTATGGAAAGAGGCGCCACTGGGGAGAACCTTTACAATAAGGTGCAGGACATTGCCTTTGATGACGTTTTCTCTCAGTACATCCTGCACCCAAGAGTAAAAAATAAATAAAACAAATGCAAAAACAAATTATCATTTAAAATATTGGCAGCTGCTCGATTATGTCGAGTGCTTCACTGGTCCCAACGTTATGGCCATGCACACCATGTTGATTAACAAACCCCCCGATTCCGGTGCCATGACCTCCCGTCACCCCCTGCACCAGGACTTGCATTACTTCCCCTTCAGACCGGCCGACAGAATCGTGGCCGCCTGGACGGCCATGGAACCCGTCACCCCTGACAATGGGTGCTTGGTTGTATTGCCTGGCTCGCATCGCAAGGGCGTTCTCTACCAGCATGAGTACCCTGAGTGGGAGGTCAGAATATTTGTTGAACTTTTAAATATGAGGCTAAATTCCTTGATTTTTTTAAGGGTGGAGTCAATAAATTCTATCACGGAATTCGTGGATTCGAAGACGAACCATTGCTCTTGCTTCCCATGAACCCTGGCGACACTGTCTTCTTCCACCCCTTGATCATTCATGGTTCTGGAGCAAACGTGACAAAGGTATTTATTTTTTAACTATAAATAATTCAAGTACCAAAATGTGATGGTGGAATAACATATTTTTATATTTTATCCTCAATGCAGATCAAATGCGTTTTATCAGAAATAAGTGTCACAAGTATAAATGAATAATTAACAAGAAAAAAAATTACAGGGATTCCGCAAAGCTATTTCTTGTCATTATGCAGCCTCCGAATGTGAATATATTGATGTCAAGGGCACGTCCCAGGAAAATATCGCAATTGAGATTGAGGGTTTGCTTAAAAAGAGAGGACTCGAGGCTGATTACAATGTAAGAAGCTGATTTTTTTGTTTTTCATTTTAAATTAAATTTAAAATTTATATTTATTATAACCAATAAAATTTTATTCCAGTCTCTTTGGCATTACCGTAGCCGTCTTGCAAGAGGCGTTTCTGTCAACTTATAAAAATCCAGCTGGTTTTTTCTTTGAGGAGAAATACCTTTTCTCGCTACTACTACACATGTTACCTAATTAATTGTTAAATTTTCTTGGCTGTGGATATAATTTCCAATAAAATGTTCACTTATCATTTGCATAATTGCCAGAATAAAATTTCCTCTGCCCACCCAGGGCTGTAGAGAGGCCAAATAAATTGTCCTATACAACCAGCACGCGGGCGACTCTCCAAAGCACCCTATTCAGATCGGCGCGTGTGGGCGGGCGGGCGAGCGACAAAATGAATTGTGTGCGGACACACGCTCGCCCACTTGTACCTACAACTAATTAAACCGACTTAATATCTGAGCCCTAATAAAAGGTACGCGTCCTATTACATTGTCGGCCAGCGTCCGTCATATTTTAAAGCAACCCGCAATACTGTGGCTTTGCCTTATCCCAGCCGAGAGTTTTTGTTTGTCAGTCGGCAAGCATGAGCACGTGTGGTCGATCCCACCGTGGGTTTGCTTTATTTATGCGCCAAATGAAAAGGGATGAAACCGAGCTGGCCCTTTGATTGTACGAATCTAGCTACGGTCCGGGCAAACAAATGTCTTGGCGTGTTTCATTAATTTGCTCACTTTTCCTTTTGAATTTGTATATCAAAAGCAGCTCCAGACCAGTTTTTGAGCCACTTGTTAAACATGAAAAAAAAAAATAAAAAAATAAAAGGAGATGGTTTTCTTTGGGGAAAGGAGACTTCACAAGAACCAACTGACAGTGGAGGTTCGACGCGGAATAAATTACGGAAAAGTGACGCTCACATAAATTCAGAGCTCGTTCTTCGTCTGGGGCAAAAGGGATGATTTTCTGCCAGTGTTAAATTTCAAAAGTCAGCCTGATCAAATCCATCTGACATTTCCAGTCGGGAAAGCAGAGAGACGGGCGCAAGTGTAGCAGAATTTAATTTCCCAGCGCCGGCCGGCCGGGCTGTGCTTTTTGTGACTGCTGGCTTGTCGGTCGGTCGGTCTCTCGGGGTCTCTTTTCTCTGAGAACTGGCACACGTGCTCCTCAGATTTGGGAATCAAACACGCCTGCGAGCAGACGAGACGCAATATTTGTTTATGGCTCTTGTTGCCTTCCATCATCACAACAAACACGGACCAAAGTCAACAATTAAAATACCTGCCTGCCTCTTCCTGATTCGTCCTAGGCACGTTCAACGCTCGGCAATAAAAAAGATTCAGCGAAGGCTCGAAAACCAATCGAGTGCCGATACTCGCCACGATAAATATTGCTTTACGTCAAGAGGCAGGGTGCAGAATAAGGGCTGGGGGTGAAAATAAATAATGGCAGCGTGTGCGAATTTAGATAAGGGTGGAGAAATAATCAAAATTCTACTAAAAAAATCAACACGGAAAATTTTCCACTTTTTTCTTGTTTAAATTTTTTTACATCGATCAATTTGTTTTAATTAAATGGGATGAGGTATAAATTTTTATGTGCAAAAGATGTATTTTCAGTGTTTTTTTTCCTTTTCATTTTATTTCTGTCTGTTTTTAGAGTAAGTAATTTGGCTTCAGTATGATGAAATTGTGCTTTCTGTGAACAGAGCAAAATTAAAAATACAACAGCTCTGGAGGTGAACCACACATAAATCTCGCGACCCGCAGAACAATTTCCCTGCTTTTTTTCTATTCCCGCAGACAAGGTGTCCATCAAGCTTTCGCCCAGCTTAATCTGGAAAACACATCTCTTTTCCCACTTTCCCACGCGTCTTTCCCGCTTTTTGCATTTTTTCGCCTGGCGTTTTGCATCTGGCGAGCACTCTCGGGGCCAAAGCCGCGCATAAATTTAATGAAATCCCGCTCCTCGATTTATCCCCTGCATTTGCTCTGCGCCGCAAAAGCATTTTCACCCGCACACACCTACGGCCCTCTTTTTGTCACGACGAACCGCTCTAGCTAAATTGTAGCTGCGAAAAACCTTGTCTCGACGACCCTCCCGCCTGAATCTCTTTCTAGGAAATGTGCTCTGACGTCAAAATTTTCTGCAGTGAATGAACGAAGAAATTTTTACTTGGAATTTTAAAAAGTTATAAGTTTTACTATATGGAACATATTTTATGGGAAATGTCAGAATTAGAGAAGAACTATTAAGCAGCAAAAATTCCAATTAAAATACCGCACTTAGTAACTATAAATAAGTTCCTACGTCTGATAAGTACATTTTATATTGTACAGTAAGCACCATTGTTTTAAATAATATTGCAGATTTCTTATTACTGATAAAAAATTCTTCATTGATTTTCTGCATAACATTTGTTTTGAAGAGACATTAAATGATTCTAAATATAATATGAAATTTTTTTAAAATTTTCAAACTTTATTTATATAAAAACACATTAATTTAATTTAATCTTTAAAAAATATAAAATGAACTAAAAATTTGCTGTGGAGATAAATCATCTAAAAAAATAATTTTAATTATTTAAAATTTTTTCTAACTATTGCATCCTTATATAAGTTAAAAGAAATTATGCACTTGTAAACTTGACTTGTTTCTTTGTTAAAAAACTTTGCACCGTAACTTGAAATAGCAGAAGTCAAACTCCACAAAAAATGACAGACGCAATAATACCCTCATCGCTTCTTCACATTGCGGAGCGCGCAGCTTTTTTGGGCTGTTCTCCTTTCCCGGCACGAATTCGCATACACATTCACGTGCATGTGTGTAGGGCCTTGCCGCTCTCTCGCAGCTCTTTGCCGTCGACATTCCGTAATTTTATTTGCTGCTTTATTTTTTTTATTCTTACGGGCTCTTGCCAGCAGCGGTACAAACGGTTTGAATTTTAAAATATGTACTCTCCGGCTGCCTTTTCGCAGCCGGCGCGCCTCTGTTATTACAAACATAATAAAAGAGAGCGTGTGCGCGCTCTCTCACAAAAGTTAAAGTGCTATAGTTGGTTACTTTGTTTGATGGCGAAAGAGAGCGGCGGCGGCGGCAGGCCGTCGTTGTTGAATGTGTGCAGACACCGTAATTAAAGCTCTGCAGTTAGAGAGATTTAATTTTCATGAAAGTATCTGCGCCCATTGTTGGTCCTTGAAGAAAAACGCGTGAGTGAGCAGCAGAGGCTTCGCGTCTTGGGCGGGATTTTTGTTATTGTTCCCAGGCAGTCCTTGCTTTGAATTCGAAATAATTCACAGACCGCCACTCGTTCCCGACGGGAAAAAAGAGTGAGTGGGAGACAAAGGAGGCGCTACGTGCCTCGCGCGGAATGAGTGTATTTCTGTCGACCGTCTGGAACAATGCCTCTGGATTTGAGACTTTCTTTCGACTTTGCGCATTAAACTTTGAACAAATAAATGCTCAAGACTTTGGCACCAATGCATATTTATACTCTTTATATATAATCACTTGGTGCTCTTTAGTTTGATAAACTTCATCAATTTCACTCCAGTCGATCAAAAAGTTTCGATGAATTCTGGTGTTCCAAGTTTTCATTGTTATTCAGATCATTAAATATCCATTTAATTCTTGGCATTCTCAAAATTTCTTAGTAAAGTATACTTAATCTTCAATATATATTTATTATTATTTCAACCCACGGCAGATATTATATTTTTGTTGTTACAAATATAGTGTTACAAAAAATAAAACTTAATCCAATTCAACTTAATCCAAACGATATTTTGATTTAAAAAATACATAAGGTTAAATATATATGCCTTTATTGACATAAATTTCTGAAAGATGTTTTCACTTATATTATTTTTTCTTCATCATTAGTCTTAGTTCAATGTAGGCAAGGAAACTCTTCCGCCAAAGAGACTGAATTGGCCACGATAGGCTACAAAGTAGAGAAACGGATGCTTGCAGCAAAATCTGACATCTGCCCCTGAGCGCTCAAACGATCCTCCTTGAAATTTATTAAAGCGATTGATAGAAAATTAATTTGTGAGAAATTTCTTTTCTCCATACCAGAAGCCGCAGCGGCTTCTGTGCCTTCTTCGTTTACTTCAATGAACGCCTTTTGGACCATGCGAGTCAAAGACAATTTCTCATTTTTTGAAATGCCGGAATAATCAGCACTACCTTCAAAAAGGAATTCTAGTCCCATCTGGTTATAATATAATATATTTTTTGAATTTGTATTAAAAAAACAATAAAAGAATACCAGGGCAAGATAAGGGCCTAGTTCTATGGTAGTCTCCGTTTTGAATTTAGGCAAGAATAGTTCAACGTCTGTAGAATTAGCGTCCTTTAAGATTTCCCTCAGTTCTACAGCTCCGAGTTTCTTTTCCAGCTCTTCCAGCCCATCAGGTTTGTTCGGCAACATTATCACCATGCTTATATCACCGCCCTTTGAACCATATTTATGCGTATTGTAAGCAATCTTGGCAAATAGTTAAGGGAGTAAAAAAAATGAATTATACCGCATAAGGCAGAACAAGAGCCTGTGCGTCATAGTCCTGCATGTGGGTATGCACAAAGGCACCTCTTTGGTACATCATTGGGACTTTCACGGGGCTCTTTGAACCAGGGTGAAAATCGGCCGAGTAAGTTTCTTCGGGGTCAAAAGGACTGGCCCATTTGCCTTTGAAGTAAATAGCGTTTACCAAAACCAGTCTCGTATTTACATCAAACGGTTCTATAATTTTTTAATTCAACAATTTTATTTATAATTCTAATAAATCCATATCTATACCATCAAATAGTTTTACAATTTTATCCATTGTTCTATTTTTGACCCAAGAGTTAATTTTGTCCGTCGCATCTTCAAGGGCAAAATTCAGGTTCTCCGCTTCAGCAAAGAATGATTTTTGGAGAACAGAATAGTACTCCTCCAAAATGTCTAGACCGTCAGCCACAAATGCTTTGTTGGCCAAAGACAGCTCGACGTTTTGAATATCCTGTTTATTATATAATTAGTTATTTAATTTTTGCTTGAAACAAAGCTTTATTTTCATAAAATTTTCACCTTCAAAAGATTTGAAACATGCAGAAATAATTCCGCAGCACAAGCACCGTCCTCAGGAAGTTTCAATTTTTGCGCTAATTGAACTTTTGTGCAGCCCTTAACACCAGCATGGATCATGCCAAGTGCAAACATGCAGCTCAGTGGTGATGCGATTACATTTCCATCTATCTTAGTCAAGACCTGCAATTTTGTTTCAACTTTGAATGGTAATGGAATTTAACAAATTTGGTCACCTAACCTTGTAAAAGTCCCGGCCAAAGGAGTTTAAAACGGCAAAATCAGACGAGTTTCTCAGAACTTGCCCGTCGCATGCCATGGTATCTAAGCGATAATTGTATGTGTGATAAAATTCAAGTCTTATATTACTTGGCGTAAACTTTGAAACCGCAAGGTCTTTCCATGTCCTGTTATTGCTCAACATTTTATAATATGATGTGTGGTTTTTAAATAATGTGATAAGCACAACACAAGTTTATATACTAGCTGAGAAGGTTAAAAGGTGAAGGCGACAAATTTTTATTTTTTGATTGCCTGCTACCATCAACATCAACCAAATTTCCCTCTAAAAAATTTAAATTATTTTCAACTTAATTTAAATATACAATTTAGTTCCAATGGAATAATCATAATTCGTTAGTTATTATAAGTGTCTAAAGTTTTAATTTTTTTTTGTAACATCTTGAGTAAAATAATAATTAAAATATGTATTATAAAATGCAAAATAATTTCCATACTCTGCAAACCTCTTTGCCTTTTTTGCTATTAAAAACTGAAAACACTAACTTGTGGTTTCCTCCTTTTTCAAACCGGTATTATGTATTGTAAAACCATAACCAAGGACACATACATGAAAGACAATAATAAAATTTGATCGGCAAGAGGGTATAATTTAATTGGGTATTAATAGAATAAATCATTCAAACGATTTTGACTATTTACAAAAAAAAAGTTAATAATAATATTTTTGAGCAAAATGATAATAATCTTTCTCTGTGCCCAACGTCGACCTCCCGCCAAGCAAAAAGCAGAATAATCGGAGATAATGATAATACGCGCGCCGCATAAACACTCGGCACGAACTCGTTGGCCGTGTGTCTGCCAGGGTTGGCGCCCCTCAAAGACTGAAGTGAGCAAAACACGCCGCGCGCGCTCGCCTAATGAAGTCCTCGGGGCTGCACCTCTGTGGATGGATTTATGCTCCAGTTACCTCTTTCCCGACCGACCATCTTGCACGGCCGGCGTGCAATTTGCATTGCCCAACAAGCATAAATGTTAGTTGCGAGCGCTTGCTCTGCCTTTTTCCTCCGTAAGGCAAAACTCGCCAGAGTACTCTGCAAATACTCCGTGTTTTATTTGCAGAGTTCAAATTAATTTTGTTCTTTTGTATTTTAATTAAAGTTAAATCACTCTCTACGTCTGCTGCTGTTAAAAAAAAATATTTTGTAATGTGATGTACACAATAAGTTTTCCATAAATTTAAAAATGAGAATACAATCATGAAAATAAATAAATTATAAAGAAATTGGTTGAAAATTAATTTCATCACGCAAGCATACAATACAATATGGAGCATTGACAGACAAACGCATCAATAACACGAGCAAACGTCTAATAAACCATTCCAAAAGAGCGGCAGCATTGTTACGACTGTGGTGGCATCGTCATTAATTACACGGGTGGATTAATTAATAATCCATAGTGGAATGCGACCGGCGACACATTCCAACGCTCGCTTTCGAAAGCATTCCTTGTTTCTCCAACAACGGTCCGCATCGATTTTTCCATTAAAAAGTATATACCTGCGGAGGCTGGAACAAGCGCCGAATTCCGTGTCTAATTACGCGGCTCCCAGCCACCGCATTTATAAATTTTGATTCCATACATCGAAGTTGGAATGCAGAGTCGGATCTATCTTTCAAAGGGGTCCCGAAATACATGTATTTATTTGCCATAAAGGGAATGTCGACAATCTGCTTGATTTTCATGCTCGGCGGGCAGGTATAACCGACCGTCCGACCACTTTACTGCGCGCTTTGTTTGGCAGAGTCGAGAGTGCAACCTCAAGTGGGCGAGATATTCTCGGAACATATCCATACTTGGCGATGGTGCTCTTTACTGTAGACTGGCCGTCAGAATATAAGATAATGCGAGCAAGCGAATTTCCATAGAAAACTCAACTAGGTCATTGGAAAATTGATACGATTTGTATGTATAATACAGAGATGGCTTGTAGAGCACACTTGAAAAATAATGATCATTATAAAAATCTTCCCTTCTACATCTCAGACAGGAAAATTCCAATCGTAACAAAATAGAAAAATCAGATGATAATATTTTTCCAGATAGTATAATCCCATTATTTTATTACAAAAAAACCATTATTATTATGTCCGACAGTTTGATAAAGAACAAATCTAAACTTTTCCGGCCAGCTTAACAAGCCAGTTGATTTTTTTTACGTGATTTTCTTCTAGCTGCTATAGCAAGCATAGTACAAAGCTCTGTCTTTTGCACACTTTTCTCGTTTCGGTAATTCCGTGCCGAGGCTGCGAAGCAAATCTCTCCACTCAAAGCCCCGTCGGGCGAGAGGCGCAAGGGTGTGTATGTATCCAAGTATCGAAAAGAGGCTTTGGAAAACCCGATTCCTTTCACGGCGCCGTCCAATTCTGCTCGAATAATTGAAATAAAACTTTTTTAAGCCGCGGCAAAACATTGTTCAAGCCTCTTTCTTTCTCTCACTCTTTTTCGGCGCGGAAAGGAAAGTTTATTCTCCACTTTATCGCCGGCAGCAGAACGAGCGGGATGATGACGGCGTGTGTTCTCTATAGCGATTAAATAAGAGCTGCAGAAGAAAGAGTGTTTGAAAGAAATATATCGCCAGGCGCCACTAACACACACGCTTGCAGTGTGAAATATTTAACCAGATAAAGTGCCTTGTTATACCCCGACTGGCCGATAAATTTCCACACCCCGGCAGATTATCACAGCGCAAATCTGCCACGTCGGCGCTTAAATTCTGTCGCCACTAATGGAGGAAAACTATTATTTCTCTCCTTTCCGTGTGTTTCATTAAGGGAGATTTTTCACGGTCGCTGCATTAATAATCCGGCATTGCTTAGCATAAAAGACTATTTATATAATTCTGGTGTGTCATTAGCAGTGTAGTATATATTCGGTTGATACAATTTTGGGAGCTCGCATATTATAACTAATCCTAGCACAGCGCACAGATCGTTAAACTAATTACTGCTTGTCAAAAGTGACAGCTGAAACAATTCATGTGGATTTGGCCTGCATACGTGTGTACAGATCGCATAAAATTATCTTTTCATGACCCATTTTCGGAGCCAAACTATTGTGGTTAGAGACCATTATTTTATACGTTTCCGCCCAGCGAATTATTATTTTATTCAGACTATGGTCATGGATTTTCAATTATTCACCTCTAGCGGATTGACAGCAATGGTTTCTAAACAATGGAAGCTTATTCAATTTAACATTCCGATAATAGCTAAAATTCAAAGGCCTAAAAACCGTTAAACAAAACAAAATATAAAAAATTTTAAAAATATAAATTTAGAGCACTCAAGCAGACAGTTTTAACACTGTTCAAAAGACATTACATAGAGTATTTACAGAGAGAATTGAATATTAATAAAATAACTTTCTTGGTGTTTTTGAACTTTTTAACAAAATTAAAAAATAAAATAACAGGAAGGCTTAACTTTGATAGTATGAATTAGGATATAAGTATTATATGTTTATGTGATGCAAAAATAGGTTCACCAAGCTAAAAAAAAAAATACGTAATAATAATAAATAACAATGTTCATAAATTTTTAAAATATATTCATATATTGAGCTGAAAAAAAATTATGCCTTCAGAGCAATAATTAGATCTTTTCATCACGTTTTATTTTTTCTTATATAAATTAATATTTTTATTTTAAATTTGTTTGAATCTGCATGGTTATAATTTATCATATAGTTCTTGCATAATGTTATTCCAAAATATTTTTTTTTTCAATTTATATTCACTCTTTATATTGATATACTATACTACACTAAACTATTCACATATCACATTTGAATAAGTCACGTAATAAAATAGCCATGAGGACCAATAAACCACTTTTGGAAAAATAATATATTGTAATTATATAGATAATTATACATTAATATAGAAAAGCTGTCAGCTAATAATATCTCAATTAAAAAAAAAAAGCAGAAAAGATTTTCGTATCAAGAAATATTATCAATAAAAATTGTGCGCCATTAGTTTTGGTTACAAATGTAACCATTTTTGTGTGTGCCTACATTTTCACAGCTAATTGCATCATCAAAATTTTGAATGCCTATTCAGAAAATTTGAAGCCTTAATTTCCTTTTCCTCTACACACCGCTCTCAGTGCACTCTCTGTTTGCACCGAGTTCGCTTGCCTGGTTGTTTGGCAGATAGCAAAAGTTTTTCTTTGTTTTGCAGTCCAGCCAAGCGTGCTAGTGCGAGAGCCGTATTGCTTATTCACACAAACAATTCTCTCGTGGAGCACCCTAGCTGCGCGCGAGTGGCTCCTGCCATGCGAAAAGCAACCAACGAAACCTTTTTCTGCCAGGAGTTCTTCCAAATAAGCTCATTTGCCGACAGCAAAGCGGGCACCCAACATCACGACGTTACCCGAAGACGGAAAAGCAGCAAAGAAATCAACTTAAGCGCTGAGAGAAAGAGAGATGCGCTCAACAATGAGATTTCTTGTTCAAGAAGGAAAAAATGGGATTAATGATGGGCGAGACGGAAGTTTGTTTTCCCAGCCAGCAACGTTATTGAGTGTATCTGATTTTTGTTTTGCTTTTCCTCCATTGCAGCGAAGAAAATATAATGAACCAACCAAGAGAAAAAGAATAAATTCTGATATTCTTTTACATGCCCGAATCGCTTCATTACATACTTCAATGTGGCATAAAAAAATGGTTTCGTTTCCAGTATTAAAAATACCATTACCTCGTAAAAAATAATTGAATAGAATGAGTTATTTCTAAAAAAAATCTTCTTGTCAAGTTATTACTATGGTTTACTTCACTTTTCTCTATTGATAAAAGTTAGTTACTCAACTTTTTTCATTTTATATCTGTAACGAAAAACGAGACTCACCTGAAATGCCATCGTATGTCCACCACTCTTCCCAGCTGGCATGGACGTCTGCAACAAGCAAACAAACAAACAAGAGATTAAAACTTGCTTGGCTGGTGAGTGTTAACACTCGCAGAGTAAAACCGAATCCCCGGGTGTCATCAGGAATTACTTGGCAAGCGGCGCAGCAAAGTTTTTCTATCCAGCTCGTGCCGGCGCCAGGGGGGCGCCCAATTTCCCCGGAGCCAGTCTCGCTGGCGCCGCGATGTTTTCCGAAGTGCTCGACAGCTCTGCCGGAGATTTTCGCAGCCAACAACGCAAATAGATTCAGAGATGCTAGAACCGGCGACTTGCTAGTCTCCTTGCCGGCGCAAAAAGTTTGTTCGCAGAGAGACACATCGCAAGTCATTATTCACGGCAGCGAGTTGGCTAAAAGCATGATATGGAGTGAACCACAGAGGGAAGTGGAAAATAAATTACTAATATTCTTATAGATTTTAAACTCATTTGTACAAAAATAAAACTTTTAGTTTTTGTAGCTGTCATATTTTTTAACATTTCACTTCTGGGCGAGTCTCAAGTGAATTATTTTTGAAACAATATACAAATAATATTATATATATGTAATATATTATATTATAATAATGCACAAATCTTATTTGAAGCAAAAAGTAAGACCTTACGACTCAAGCTTAAAATTTAAAAAAAAAATCACATTAAATTCAATATTATTATGTTTTACAAGCATGTAAATTTTATGTGCATTGTTTTATACAATTAAGCTCATTTTAATTTCATATAAATATAAATTTACTTGTCATAATTAATTTAACTTGACAGCACTCTTAAATAATTATAATAATTTTTCACTGCCCTGGGAAGAGAAGCCGTCCTCTTGGGCAGACTTGTAGTTCTGATGGGGCGCATGTATGCTATCTTTTCAGATATGGACAGGCACGAGTGCGGTTTCAAAGATGAGTAGATGCTATAGCCAACAAAGGCCTTTTAGTTCGCTTTGTATTGGCACCAAAGCCAAAAAGTTTACCCCTACTATTTTTGCATGAAAATTACAAACTGCACAATGCCCCTCTAATATTAGTAATATTGTCTGCGGTCGACCAAATAAAGTAAAAAAACGATTAGGAAAAATGAATAAAAAAAATTTTTTTTTGCTGAAATTGGATTTTCAAACAAAGGTTTTCAAAAAGTTCAAAAGCTAAATTCTGCGTAAAAATCAACTTTAAAAAAATACTTTTTGTGTAAAAGAAAATCCCATTTATGCGGCCAGTGAGGTCTGTGATTTATGCTATAACGGGCCCCAATTGATCAAAACTGTAAATTAGGTAAGCCCATCAGGAGGTGGAACGACGCAGAACGACGGAAGTATTAATTCTCGTCCCTTCGGGTGCTCGCATCGCAAAATATATTGGCAGCGCGCGCAGAAATAAGTGCATCCGGGCGTGAAATTAACTTGAGAGATTACTATTATTATTTCACCTGCACCACTCGCTTGCTGCGATAGCGAGAGGGGATTATAAAAATTTAATTTCAATTACAGGCGGCAAGGTCGGCCCAGTTTGCCCCGCGCTATTTCAATGGCCGAGCGCTTTTCCGGCTGCGACGTCATGCATGGCACGCGGCGATAAATCATTCTCGATGTCGCTTTTTTCAATGGCCATTCGCGCGCGCCTAATTCAATTCTAATGGACAAAGCAAGTTCTGATTCGGCACAGATAATGAGCGAGCACGGGCGACATCAATTGTAAACAATGAACTTGTGATTGTAGAACGCAGTGTTGCGCCCTCCGTGACACGAAATTTCGCTCAGTTGTTGAATAACTGGGATATTTTTTGCAAAGCAACATAATTTACGAATATAGGGCATTAATTTTTTTTTAAATATTTAAAAAATTAAAATGTTGTAAAAAAACTATTTCTTATAAATCTGTGTTAAAATAATATATATAATTTTTAAAATACAATTTATGTAGAAAAATAAATGACAAATATAATGATTTTTTATTTCAACAAATATGCAATAAAAACACGGGTGTTCTTTTCTGCATCACAAATTTGCTTATTAAAATTGTCATCATCTTCTCTTACAAAAAAAAAAATAATAAAATTACACCTCCAGTAATTGATGTCACACTTTTCCAAGAACATGGATAATAAGAATCGAAATAGCTTTACTAATTATAAATAATTTTTAGAAGTACCAAAAAATGAATAAAAATTGGCACGTACTTCTACTACGTTTGTCTATTTGAGAGTTTGACTGTTACATAAAACAACAGGTTTCAGGAAAAAATATTTATTTTGTCCACAGCAATTGAGTGTGTAGGATAATTAAATTTAAATTCTTTTTCTTTTTATATTTACAATTTAATTAGTAATTCAGGGATAATAACCTCTTGATAACTAAAATAATGAGGGATGAATGTAAGTATGTATTATGATGGTAATGTTTAGACAGATTTCTTACCTGCAAGTGCAAGCAGCGCAAAGAAGACAGTTGTGCGAATCATCGCGGAGCACGCTTGTGACGCCTAGGGCTGGCTGCTTGGCGTGGGTTGATGTTCACAGGGGCGCGGAGTCGCGCTGACTGAAGCTCACGCCGCGCCGCACCCTGTGGCCGTGTGGCGCATGCACCCTTCCTCCGCCCGGATCAGACCCCAGCCCATTATCAGTCGTTGCTCACCAATAATCACATCCTCCCACTGCCTCTGTGCTTATTTTTGCCACTGCTACATTTTTCACTGGCAAAAAGTGAACGCACGTAATATTAATTTTATTATTATTTTCAAACTTTTCATTCAAAAATCTCAAGATAAAATAAACTTTATGCGCTTTTCTTTGTTCTTATATAATGTATTAGATTAAATAATAATGTTATAATAATCTTGAGCGTTTACTTAATTCCAGCTTCTTCACAATTTTGACATCTCGTCTGAATAAAAATTCATTTTCAGGTTTTACGGAACTATAACACAACTGTGTGCTTTTTTGTCTGCAAATATTTCTGAAGTGCTGATTTATTTTGCCGCTGCCGCGGCGTTTTGCAAAGGTGCGCGCTGTTTCATCTCTGGTGCCGAATTATTTGCGTCATTTGGTGGATGGAGAGCGGAGAGGCAAAGGATTTTTCCTCTCTGTGGACGGTGTGCTTGTTAAAACTGTTTGCCAGAGTTTGGAAATCTCTGTGGACGTACACGCCTATACGGCGCGAAGTTATGCTGTTGAGTATTCCAGCAATTTTACATTAAAATTTTCCGTGCCATTTCCCACAGTTAGCATGGAATACATTTTATTTTTGAGCTGAAGGTTATTTGAGAAAAATAAAAATTGATAAACATTTTCACTCATTATTATTTTAAAATCATACTTTTTAATTATAAAATAGATATTCATGCTTCACTTGCTTCAGATTTGTATTTCATAAAATTTATTCCGTTGATACTAATAACGGGCAATAAGCTTTTAGTCATTTGGTTCATTTACACCGGACGTAGATTGATGCGAATATTTGCCCTTTCGCACGCTCTCTTTGCGTCGGTCAACTTGGTGAAGTTGCGAATGAGCTTGATGTGGGTCATCAGTCAAATTACTAATGGAAAGTTCGTGTTGGGTGGACTGAGGGCGCATTAAGGGGTTGCGGTGCACCTTTACGAGCAGAGACAGGGTGCACTGCGCGACGGCCCATTTCGTCAGCCCCATCAAACTTCTCGGCTGCAACTTTTCAGCTCTAATGGGTTATTATTTGAAGTGCTAATTCTTATATACACTGTGACTCAAAAAACTTTTTTCTGTCAAAATTTTTCAATAAAATTCCAAATTTGTCCAATATGGTTGCCAAATTTTATTAAAAGTGTGTAAAAAATTTATTTTTTTATTATTTATCATGCACACAGAGCACTATATTTTTAAAAACCCAATTTTCACGCAACGAAGCATTCTGTTGTTAAGGATATCGCTTTTCACAAATGAAAAATCGTTGAGTGCTGCAATTCTCATCAAAATAACATGCACCGGCCGGGATGAAACCCACTTGTAAAGACAACAGGAGACCTATGCAGTGCTGAGTGCCAATGCCATTTGGTTCGTTCATGCACCACGATGCTGATTTCCAGTCGTTCGTCTTATTTACTCCGCACCAAGCAAGTCTGTCCCTGCATGAAGTGTCAGCGCCACTAGTGAAATACCAATCCGCTCTGTTAATATTTTCTATTTAAATGCAATCCATTAATTTGAGCTACATTAGCATAATTAGAAGTATACATACTCGTGTACCAATTAAATATGCAGTCTTTCCTGCTGGTTGTCTCAAAATTTATTAGTCTCATTCCCAAACCACAGCAGTAATTAGCCGCATCTGTTTGATTGACCTTTTAATTAATCTTTTAGTTGGTAGTATATCCAATTTATTTTGAATTTTTCCCACTTTAAATGCACTGACAAAAACTGTTGTATTGTTGCAAATTGCTGCAACTTTACCAAGGCTTGCAGAAACTAATGTTTACATCATTAATTAAACAATATATTTATTGTATTTTGCCTACTATTATAATTTCCGTTTGAATCTACAAACTGAGGCTGAAAAATGATTAATCATTCACAATATTCTACCTTATTTTTAATAGAAGCATTACGTTTGCGATATCACACGATTTCTGAGCTGGGCAAAATGATAGAGTGCAATTATCCACTTGAAACGGCAGCGCATAGGGTACATTATTTGGTGAAACTGTGGTTAAGGTGGAAACATTTGCGATCATTGAGCTTGATCGATTAATGCTATTAATAAGAGGCGTTGTCGAGGTTGTGATATTAACTATGGATCCTTTTTTAGCAGAAATTGATTTCGAAATTGTTGTGTTGAAGGTTTGCCCAGGGGAACCAAAAGACAAAGTAAAATTTACTAAAATTGGTCCCGTTGTTGAAATATTGCTAAAAATGTGACTTGATTCCATTAATTTTCATAAAAAGGTCATCTTTTTTTTACGTAAAACGTCCTGTCGTTCCAATCACTTCTGTTATTGCTGTATTATTTGTTGATGTTGTAAAAATTGGCGCATCACGACTGCTGCTAATATCTGCCGCGGTTTGTGAAGTAGTAAAATCAATCGACGAGGTGGTCAAATCACTAGTTTCAGATGAGTTTGTTGAAGATGAAGCGCTGTAATTTAAATTTCCAGTTGAAATCGATTTCAATGTTGGCATGTACGTGGTCGTCGTATTTTTTGCTTCAAGAGTGGGAGTTTCGAAAATAAAAGTAGTAATTTCCGTTGGAGTTTCATTAATTATAGACGCAACTGTCGGTGAAATTGAGAAAGTTGCATCGGTTTGTGAAGTAGTAAAATTAATCAACCAGGTTGATAAATTACTACTTTCAGATGAGTTTGTTGAAAATGTGGTGCTGTAATTTATATTTCTTGTTGAGATCACTTTCAATGTGGACATAGACGTCGTGGTCATATTTTTTGCTTCAAGAGTGGAAGTTTGGAAATTAAAGGTAGTCATTTCCGTTGGAGTTTCATAAATTTTAGACGCAACCGTCGGTGAAATTGAGGAAGTTGCATCAGTTTCTCCTTGAGTACTAGACAGAAAAATGTTGTAATCTAAGATTGTTTCTTTTCCTACTGTTGAAATCACTGAAGATGTATAGGACAGTACGTTGGTAGTTTTAGTGTTGTTTTTGGCCACCTAAAATAAATTTACTTGAATTTTTAAATATCAAAGGATTAGAGAAGAGCTTTATACTACGTCTGGCGAGTTACAAGACCTTGCTCCACAGCACTTAATAATTTGCAACCTTTGATGAGCTTTGATAATTTTAACTCTGATCACAGTCGAGGAATACTCTGACACATAAAATATTCAATTAGCATAAAATGAAATATGCATAATATTTCTATTTTAATATGTATTTGATATAAAACCACTGCTATATTAAATACGTACCTCTTTTGCCAATAGATTTTAACAAATTGGCATTAAGCCCAAGACACTCAAAAAATATCTGTGAAGATAAAATTTAATTTTGATCGCTTGATCTGCTAATTAAAAAAGAATTAAGTACAGAGTTTTCTTACCACAAGTAAAAGCAGCGCGGCAATCATTAAGAGACGCATGTTCCTTTCAGCGTGTTGGCAGGAATGGATTTGAATTTGTTATATTAGATTGCAGATGATTCAGGGAGCCAAATGTAAAATTAAATGCGGTGTCAAAGGAGCAAGAAATTTTGATTGATTTGATAATAATTGAGCATATTGATTTATAACGGTTGCAAATTTCTACTACACAAGTTTCTACAGGTTTCAATAAACGTAAATAGGTTGCAATGTTTTATTGCAAATATATATTATGGTTTAAATCCGAGATTTTAAAATTGGGTTTAAAAATTTAAAATCAAAGTAAATATTTAACGAAATTTGATGATGTTTATTTTTATTTCAACTTCTAAACATTTATATTTGAAACAATCGCTGGCTTTCAATATTCAAATGAGAATATTTCAATTTGAGGATATAAGAGGATATTGGTCAAGAAAATGTTTTTAATTCAAGACCCCGATTCAACAATCAGAGCAATTTTTTATTTAGGATACTTATTTATTTCACAAAATCCGTTTTAAACTATATTTTTGAATCACTTTCTTGAAAATTGGCTATCGGCCAATGCATACTTGTCATATATCCTTATTTCAATTATTTCAAAGCTCATATTTTTTTTTTTTAATTTTTAAGGAAAGATAAATCCGCTTCTTCAGTCACTGCAACCATTGGACTAAAGCCTAGCTGTTTAAGAGCCCAACCGTAGCTGTCGGGAGTTGGAGTCGTCTCGGTGTCGATAGCTTTAACCAACCACAAGTCTCTCACTTCACCTTCCCTTGTTGGTCTCTCAGTTGTTGTTGTAGTAGTTTTTTTGGTACTATTAGAGGGATTCGCAGCGTATAAACCTATTTTTAGTAAAAAATAAAAATAAATAAATAAATTATAAAAAGTTAAAATGTTTTTTCTAATAAAAAAAAATTCTATGACTTGAAACATACTGTTGCGTAAGGCGAAATCAAGAACGGCCTTAAGACCCGATCCAGGTTCCGCCATTACTCTTGCGTCATTTTGGTTTGCAGCTATTGCATTGGTATTTAATAATTGGCACATTTATTATGCTATATAAAACAGGCTAATTTTTAACATACCTCCTATATACTGACGTGAAAATTCATTTTGCAAAAATGAATAAAGTTCTGGCGGCATGTAAGGTGCAGAATAATAATCCCCGTCTTTAGAACCTGGCGTTTTTTTTTTTTGCTCATTTGCTATAGAAATTTATCAAATTGAAAATTAGAAATACCACGACCAAGTTGCGATGTAGCAGGGAGAATCTGATTTCGATCATTTATGTTGATATATTGATCCTCATCGCACGGTGCAGATGAAAACATGGAAAGTGTTTGACATCTATTTTGAACATAAGGGTCTTCTTCGGGCATTGAAAGCACGATTTTAAAGCCGTTTGAAACCAATTTATTATCTCCAATGTTCCCGCCGGTGTCCTCGTTCTCTTCTTGGTCCTCTTCTTCATCTTCACTATCGCCTTCATCGTCTGCCTGTGAAGAGGTTTCCGTTATGCCATCAGGTGACCTCTTTTTTACTCTGTGATGAATTTCATCTGAAAATTCAGTGTAAAATATAAGCAGAAAAAAATTGAAATAAAATCATTTGGCAGATGCATAATTATAAATATGTATATGGAGGAGCGCGCCTGCATAATTTCAATGTTTGCAGCACGCTCTACAGCTACGTTGAAACAGTTGCATAATGTATTCTCGCACTTAACATTAAAGCAAACTCGGGAAACGTTGGCCATATATGCATATTATTAAAACTAATATGATATTATTGATCTAATACAATTTTAATGTTCAATAAATTGTAAATTTATTTATTTTTCAACATTCAAGAACAAGCATATTATTAATAAAAATTAAAAATATATAACTTTACAGATTTAAAAATAAAATTTTTAGATTTTTACTGAGCAAGAGCATATGAAATTTAAAATTAAAAAAAAAAATGGATGACAGGAAATATAGCCTACCTGGACGATCGAGGTCCGGTGTTGCTGCAGGCGCAGCGACCACGATCACCTGCCATATAATAACATTTGATGACGAATTAAATTGACGTCACTTTTCAAACCTGCAGAAAATACCTTACACCAATGTAAATTACTAATTATTAACTTAAAATTTCTTCAAAAGTCAGACTAAACTTAAGAAATCTGCAATTTCCTGTGCAAAATAGAAATAAAATATGATTCCATGTTATCACAACTACCAGGATCAGGATACTATTTAACTTAACAACGCTTTGTTTGAACTTATCAGCTAGGTGCATTTTACTTTAAAAAATATGAATCGTAAATAACCAACATTTAGAGCTCATATTATACTCATTTCTCTCATTCAGAGCCTTTTTGTTTTATCATCTCATCATTTTTTTCCTTCTGTTTATATTTTTTTGTTATTTGAATAATTTTTTTGTTCGTCAAGAGATAAAATATAGCTGAGTATGTAAAATGTAGATGTTTGATCAGTATAAATATTCAGGCTTTTCATTTTTCTTATTTATCTCCTAATTGTAAGATTAAAGATACAAATTTTGTTTTATTTTACTACTCACATGGCAGAATGTGATGAAAATAGCAGCAACGGCAATTGTTGCGAGACTTGAAAATGCAAAACTCATTGAGATTTCACATGAAATTTGAATACGCAAAACTGTGAGTCGCCTCAATGGCGGACGGTTCACCGGAAGAGGAGCTGTGCACTGCTCTCTCTCCCTGCTCCCATTGCAAATAATGATTTCCCACTTTTGTTAGAACTACATCCGCTTTCCCCTTTGCCGCGCAGATAATTAGGAAACTTTTGCTATTTTGCGGATATTATCATATTTTTATTTTCAAATTTCGCCGGGGTAAAAATTGTAAAAGTGTGCTTTAACATGTATGTATGATGAATACTCATTGAGTAATAAATAATTTTTCAATCAATCAAATAATGTGATGATCTTGATCTAATCATAAGTCTTTTTTTACAATTTCCTGTGGATGAAAAATTCTCAAAATCAGCACTTAAGTTTTACTATTTGACGTGTATGAAGTTTTCCTCAAGTTTTCATTGCTTCATTTGGTCACAATACAAGTAAAAGTGTTTGCTATCCGTTAAATTCCAGTCATCATAAGAATTGGTTTATAATGATATGGTACGTGGTGATCTAAGTTATTTTCGGTTATTTTATTAATTTGCTAGCTGCATAAAAGAAAGTCACGCAAATATGTATTATTTAAATTTTGTAAATTTTTTACCATGTAATTTAATATCATTTCACACTTAATAACTTTTCAATATGAACTGCAAACAAATTTGCAATGAAACCTAAATAACTGAACAATCAAATGAAACTATTTCACTTTTGATTAATCCGCTGCCAGAGTTACTACATCGAATCGCAAATCGGGATCAAAGTCTTCCTTCCTCCATCTGTAGACATCAGGTCGAGTTGGTTTTTTCACCAAGTCAATATCCTTGACCGACCACAAGTTTCTCACTTCGCCTTGGCTAGTTGATCTCTCAATTGTTGTCAAGGTAGTTTTTGTAGTATCCGTACTAGCAGTAGGATTCACATCATTTAAAGCTGCGTTTAAAATGTTTTGAAATCTAATAATATATAATAAATTGTGCTTTTCTATTTTTTTTTAACTTACAGCCAAATCCCCCTAAAATATTTCCAACCATTCGGGATATATCAAGTCCTGCTCCTGAAACGTCTTTAGTTGCACTAATAGTATTGTCAATTTGACTTGCGGCTATATGGAATTGATATATTAACGAAACAGGCTAATATATCTAAAAAAATTTGAAAGGAATGAAAATTCTGAGAAAACATGTCAATATGTGATTCAGAATTATTTTATATTTCTAAAGAACCTGGCGTTGTTGTTTGCACTTCATGTTCTAGAAATGACAAAATATTTTAAAAGTAAAAAAAAAATCGAAAATTTTCTATTTCTACTACTTACGGGCGAATCCGCCTAAAAGGTCATGTATTAGGCCACCTATATCAATTTTTGCAAAGACTAAGCCTGCCCTTGCACTAGTAGCATCGTCAATTTGACTTGCAGCTATATGACATTGATATTTATTATTAACACAAAAAATAGGCTCATATAATATGAAGAAGTATAAAAATTGTTTTGAAAAAGGGAATAAATTTCTAGCAGTGTTCATAATGTTTGAGGTGCACGCTCTGCACAGAATAATATTTCCGTTTCAAAAAGAACCTGGCGTTGTTGTTTGCTCTACGTCTGCTTGCGCTAGAAATGTGAAATATAATTATCGTGTGTATATCAGTGAAGAGTTTTTGCAAAATGTATTATTACGTTGAGAACGACTTTTGAATTGCGATTTAACAGGGAAAATCCGATTCTGATCATCTTCATTGCACGATATAGATGAAAACATTGAAAATGTTTGGCATCTATTTTCAACGTACAGGTCATCTGGGAGTACCAAAATCACGATTTTGTAGCCCATGGGAACCGAATTACGTTCTGCAATGTGCCCCCCGGTATCCTCGTCCTCTTCATAGTCGTCGTTTTCATCATCGCCTTCATCGTCATCTTGGGAAGAGGCTTGAACAACTTGCGTAGGGTCATGATTTGCCCGTCTATTCAATACGTGGACCCTCTGATGAATTTCGTCTAAAAATTAGTTTAAGCATAATTAAATATGAAAATAAGAGTGGCATATAGGGCGTGCTTGATTATTATACAAATGCAGAATGCAGCACGCTCTACAGCTACGTTGCAACAGTTGCATAAATTTAATGCTCGCAGCAGACACACTGGCTAATTGGCTATGGTAAAAAATTGGCAAAAATTGATGGGCAGCTTCAATCAAGAACTGCATGCACTGTTTTGTAGATAAGATAATATTTTGAAAACTATTAAAATATTAATTTTGTAATGCTATGATTCATTTCATGTAAGCAATATAAAAATTTATATTATATTTATTTGGAGATCATATGGACTGGAGCTCTAGCTTGATTTTTACTCGCAAAAATCATGGAATTTCAAAATGTAAAACAGGAAGTGTAGCTGACCTTGGCGACCTACGCCCATTGTTGTTGCTGCTGGCGCTGTGGCTGTCAGCTGCAGTAAAATTTTATGACGAATTAAATTGACGTCACATAAAAAATATGATGCAAAATTAATATAACAAATTATAAAAATGGAGTTTAAAGAAATAAAAACTAATACTATGGAAGAAAATTCAGCAGCCTGGCTTTAGCTTTAAGCCTATAGCTCTTGTACAAACTCTTTTATAAAGATAAACTATTTGTTTCATGGTATTGTGGTGATATTACAATATTAGATAAAAACAGCGCTGCTCATTATGGTTCAGGTTCATGAGCTGCGTTTACATACTAATTGAACTAAAAAAGTGGCATGAGGCAATATAGTTTTCACAAGGGAAAATAATGAAAAAGATTTTTTTATATTCATTATTTGAAATCAAATTAATTTCATTTACGACAACTCACATGGCATATTATGATGAAAATAGCAGCAATGGAAATTGCTGCAAGCCTTGAGCATAAAAGACTCATTGAGTCTTTAAATATGAAAGCGATGAAACTAAACTAGAGGATGCGCAAAACTATGTATATTTTATGCCCCGCCTGGATGACAGGCGCGGGCGATCCAAGTATCGCTTCATAATTTGTTTCAATATTGTGCATTGCATACTTTTTTTCTGTTGAATTAAACACAACCTCAATTTGCTTTAGATCCAAATTTATTAATTTGAGAAATTAATCAAATTAAGAATTAAACTGGAAAGCACAACTTATTTGAAATAAATAAGTTTTGAGACATAAAATTGCCAGCTGTCACAATAATCAAATTTGCCAACTTTATTGCAGATTGCACTGACATATTCAACACGTAATAAACTGCACTAAAGACCGAAAGATTTTTTAATTCTGCTACAATAATGGTGCAAGTCTATCAGTTAGTTGTACAAAAATCTGCATAGCAAACATAATAATGCGACCAAAGAAATAAATACTCATTAAATTGAATTTCAATTACATGTCATCATTTGTGGGCTCCTTGAATCACAGAACATCAGTAAGGAAGGAACCAAATCCAAAAGTGGCCTTGATGGGGTTCCAATAGTACTGCTCCCATCCCTGCTTGGTAGCATCAAGCTCACTGTAATAATTTTTACGTCACAAAATCATTCATAATACAATATTTTGTTAAATACCTGCTTGGAATGCCAGAATGTTTAAGAACAATTGATGTCCCTTCGGGCTCTTCGTCAAAGGTCAACTCGACAATAGACCTCACCCCACTTGGCCATGACTTGTTTTGCCAATATTGCTTAACCTTCAGGTTTTCTTCCTACAATTGCAGACAAATTACATTCATTATCATACATGTTTTAAATTATCAAAATTACCAATTCGATGAATTCCCCAAAAATGTTTCCATTGAAAAGCTCAAACTTTCCTCTTGGCTTGGCTTCCATTTTAACTGGTCCTCTTGTGAAGGCTTCAACCATCTAAATTAAATTACAAAAATTACTGTTACCCCTAATTTTAATTATGATAACTCACTCTTTGTTCTGTAAAGCACTTGTAAGCCTCGTTGATGGGACAGAAAAGATTTTGGCGAGACGTAAATGACATAGTGTCAATGTTCATGTTTTTAACAGCACCTGAGAGCTGAAATTAATTTTTAAGTAAAAATTATTGAGAAACACAATTTTAATACTGCAGTTATTACCTGGGACTGCGAACTTAACTTGACAGGCGCTTTAGAAGCAGCTGGTTTGATGACTTTGGCTTCCGTTTCCTCCTTTTTCGGCAAAATTAGACCCTGCGAATATTCTATTGGGAAAAATTGAAAATATTGATGAAATTTCAATTTAATACATATTTTGTATGACAAACCTTCCTTGAGAGAGCTAATGTACTCTGCTATCTTCTCTCTGATGAGTTTTCTTCCTTTTTCATACATCAGCTGCTTCATCGTGTACGCAAAGTCTGAACTCTCTTCCACTGTGGGTTCCACCTAAATTATTTAAATAAATTACATCTCAACTTACTTGTGAACGTGACCAGATAAAAACTTACATCAATTTCATCGACAGCGTTTTCCTCACTCAGATTGGGTATGTTAATTTTTCCCTTGCACTTGAGTTTGGAATCATTTTCGTTTCCTTTAGCCTCCCACTTGAGGTCCAATTGCCAATCGTAGAAAAATATAAGTTTGCCCTTTCTGTTGTTCACAACTGCTTCGCCTTCGCACTTGCTCACCTCCTTAATTTGGGCGGTTCCTAAATAACAACATGCAAGATACACAAAACATATTAGCCTCTTCGCATCAACTCATTTTCAATCAATCATTCCAACCTTTCTCCCCTTCAACTTTCAAGTCCATGAGCAGTTCCTGCAGTTTGCCCTGCGACCATCTATTTGCATTTTTCTCTGACCTATTGTAAATAATAAAATATTAAAAGTATTTCGGAATAAAAGCTTTAGAGTTTTTAATGGAAACGCCAATTCAAAGCCCAAGCAATAGTGGATCCCAAATAATACCACACGATTAACACTGAGGATGCTTACAATAATTATGGCCCGTAAGGCCTGTTGTAAATTGGTTCTATGTATATTATTAGATATTTTATATCCAAAACAGCTATTTTTACCAGTGCCAGTTATTAACGTTTGTGGCATCAGGTCTCTCCTCCACAATCCACCGAGGATCCCCTTCACCCCACTTGGCCATTTCGTGTCAAAATATGAAGATTCTATTAGAAGGATGGTTTTTCTGTGATCGAAGTCGAAGGACTCCCAACTGCAAAAATAATAAAAATAGAAAAGCTAGTAAGGCAAAAGATTGACTACATAATAATTTATAAGATTATGTACATATCATAAATTTTGTAGGTTTTATGTAGTTATAATTTATTTCATCAATAAACATGAATGAAAAGTTTATGTATGTACATCTGTAATGTGTTTCAAGAATGACCTAGAATTGAAAATTTTATCAACAAGATCGAGGTGTACATAAGTTTGCAAAAATTAAAAATTTCATAATTCAATAAGCAATTCAAAATACCTTGAACGAGAGTTCAGCAAAGCCTTTACTTACCAGTTGAAGTCTAGGATTGATGGATGCCAAAAGTTAGCGGAAACACAACAATTTCTTAGATCTTTCGCGAAATTTCTCGATATTTTGAGAGCATGTTGAGCCGCAGCCCTCAGCGCAACCCGTACTTCTTCTGTTCAGTGTTCAGTGTCAATGTTGTAAATAATACCGGTGATTTTAAATCAAAACTTGTAACCGGTAAAAATACTTTTTAATAAAATGCATAAATGTGGTAAATTAGCCATAATAACATTATCAATTTAATATGAAAATTTCTAATTTTTAAGATGAAATAGATTTGAAAGAGTTTTTCTCCCATTTATAGCCTCTTGTTTGCTTTGTTTATATTAAGAGAGACGCAAACCGGTTTTAAAAAATATTCTAATTTACTCTAGTGCTGCCACCTGCTTGCGGCATACACATTTTTTAATCAAAGTCCGCCGGTGTAGCGCCTCTTGCGGGCAGGTAAGGCAACTAAAGTAAAGGTGCGGCTCCGCCCATAAGAGATTAGGGATTTTTGACACGAGATGTCTCGTCGGACGGCGCACACTTGTTGCTTCTTTTCTGCTGGACAGTGTGAACGGGTGATGTGGATATCAGTGCTTTGATTCATCGCCAGTTCGATCGCGAATAAAGCCTCGTTCAGGATAAGTCAAGTGATTCGGCCGATCGGCTTCGTCTTCGGCGGAAGCACCGCGAGCATGGCCACCGTTTCGGTAAGTGGTTCGCCCTCTTTCCACAAACAACGATGCCCCAAAGGGGTGTGCGGTTGTTCTCGGTCGCCGCGCGTAATCCAATTACGACGCTCGCTGCCTAATTGAATAACACGCAAGCGGGCCCTCGAACTCCGACGATGGGTCTGGAAATGAAATCAATTCGACAGCCGAAAGTTAATAAGAATGTGAGCGGCGCCAACTCCCGCTTTGCCGACAGACACACCTGTCAGGGCGCGATCCTTCGGGGGGAGGGGCGCGTGCTGCCAGGGTTGTAATCGGACCGTTGGATCAAAACACACACGTCCGCATCGCTCTCACGCCTCTGATTTATGCTAAAATGTGAATAATTTGTAGCTTCCTTTGCGGTGATTTGATAGGGGATTTTAATTACTGCAATTCTTGAATTTTAATAAATTGATCGATACATCTCTTTCAAGAGTTTGATGACTTTTTAGATTCATAATAATGTTCTCTTTAAGAATTTTAATCTTTTCTATGTTAATAAATATATTTTATCTGATACCAACAATTTCAATTCAAATATCAGTAAAATATTGAAAATTTAATACATGCTGGGCAAAGTTTGATTAATAGAATTATGCTGGGGTTTTTTATTGTTGAAGTTTAGAAATAATTGACAATATTTTCAGCAAATGAATAAATTTTCAATAAAAATTGCGTTTTAAAAAAACTGTTAGATAACCAAAAAAAATTTCATGTCTTATTATTAATAGGTCGAGATAAACAAAAATGGAAGTATATTAGTTAAAATAATGTTCAGAAAAGATAAGGCACTTGAAATTTTCACTCTTTTCAACCCACTTAAAATTTTTAAACTAAAAAATCTGTGTTCCGTATCAATCACAAGCTCTCCACTTAAAACAATAATTTAATTTAACTTTCATCGCCAACCAAAACTGAGTTCATTGCTTCGCTTCAACCCATGTCCAGACTCCGTGCACAATGAATCATTTTTTCGCTAATTTCGCACCAACGTCTGTTATCAAGCGCAAGATTGTGCGCGTCATGAAGAAGAAGTGCACCCGGCGTAATAATAATAATAACATGCCGGAGAATTTCACTTGGAAAATTGTGCGGTCTGATTCTAATTAATTCCGTTCCGACCGCTTCATTCCTCTCGCTGCGTTTATTGTCCCGCCGGAAAAGTCAGCCCTAATTGGCCGCTGTAATTGCGAAAAGGCGGAATTTTTATTGCGGCTAATCTGCCGGCAGTTGGTGCAAAGCAGAGATCTGCGGCCGAACGGTGATTTTAATGACCGAGTTTGCCTCTCGCTGCATTTTTACCGCTGACCGCCATTAAATTTGTTATTATTATGCGTTTTTCGGAAATTATACTGTGAAATGAATGAGACCAAAATTATCTCAGCGGGACAGATATAATTATAATTTTTTTTAAATAAAAATATAAATAATGAACATTAAGAACAATTAATTTACCTAAAGAAAATAAATGTGTGAGGGAACTTGCAATTATTTAATTCTAATACACTTTTTTTCTATTCACTTGCAATTAAACTACTTTCATTTTTATTAGATTATACTTTTGTATATTTCTCTGCAATATTTGTTCGAAACGGTGAGTAAGCGGGAAACGTCAGCGAGAAAAGTTGCGTGAGTTTGTGAATAGTCGCGAAACGAGTCACTTTTCACCAAGAGTATTATCTGTGGGCTGAGAGCGAGTGCGGAAACCTTTCCAGTTCAACTTCACTTGAGCGCAGAGTCGATTACTTCGAGTCGCTCTCCGGTGTTGGCTTGCAGAAAATCATGACAAATAAGTTGTCCCTTGCAGCCATGCTTAAGTCGAACTGCGTCGTTTCGAAAGGAAAATTAATACATTCGGCCAGCTGGTTTTGTTTTCTTCAAGATATCCGATTCTTTCATCCTTCGTCATTCTGTTTTTATTTCTGAATAAATCATTTGATCATTTGTTTTTTAAATTAGATGAAAGTTGCCACAAGATCAATCTGATTACATTTGGATTATTGTTTATAAAGCATGTTATTGTTAAACTTGGGCTAGAATTTTTTCAACCGCGGTTTTTTATGGATGCAGGGCCACGCTAGGAAACTATGGGGTCCAAGATATAATTTTTATTTCATTTAACTTTTGGTCTTATGAAAATTGAAGATTTCAAATTAACATCAGCCAGAAATTTGGAGCTCAAAATATTATAATAAATTAAATACATTTCAAATACTGCTGAAGAAACTGCAAAATAAAATTTTTTGGGTCCATGGCCCTTAAAATTAACTAATCATAACATTACTCTGATGAGGAAATCGCTAAATGAGTATCTTTAAGGAGTCTTTAAAAAATGTGCTAAATATAAATTAGATCTGCAAAATAAATATTTAATTGAGAATTTTATGAAAATATTTCATCCCGCCTTTTGAGAAAATTAAAAACTACTCATTTTTAATTACATTTTATCTCATTATATAACCGGAGATAAATCATCGTCAACGATTGTTCGGTAGTTAATTTGTTCCGCGAACGAAGCGCGTTTCGATCGAAATTTGGCGCCAATCTCGTGCGTGCCGCGCAACCTTGAGCTCGGCCAGGTTGGGGCCCTCGGATCGGATCTGACTCTAGGCACCTATAAAACAGTGGACGCAGCGGCCCGGCAGTAACTGACCCTGTACCTTGCCGCGGGCTGTTTTATCAAAAAGCAGCGTGGCTCGCTCTGCCGGGCGGGATGCTGCGCTGCAGGAATTTCCATCATCATTACACTATTATGGCAGCGCATAAACACACTCTCGATCAGAAAGGCGGCCGGTTTTTGAATCAGATCGCCGCGTTTTTAATTCATTACCGGCTGATTCAAAAGACGTCTTTTTTATACGCTGCACCCGGCCTTTGTCAAAAGAATGGGGAAGAAAAAAAGACAGCTTTGAAAAATCGGCTCCGCTCAAATCGTTGACGTTATCTGCGGCTCGTGACACGGCCATCCTGACAAGGTGGTCGTATTTCGTATTTAATTTTATTTTTATAAATCGGAAATTTCGCTCTCTTCTTTGATTTTTTATTTTTACTTTTTTAAAGGACGTCTCTCAAAAGCAAACAGTAATTAAACGCCCGGCGCGTGTTTTTTTAAACTATTCTGTTGAAAAAGAAAGGACGCCGCTTTCTACAAAATAAACAAGCCTCGTTTCGACTTCTTGTGCGGCGTTTTATAATAAAAGTCATAAACTATCACAGAAAAAGCAGCCAGTGGAAAGAAGGAAAGAGAGAGATGAGAATATTCAACTCCGGTGCTTCTCTTTTACGACGAGAAATATTTTTGTGGACCGAAAGTGTTCCTTATATAAATTCCGTGAATTTTTCTACGTTGATGAAAATCAGCCCCGCCCCAATGCTCAGTTGTCTTCAACGCAAAAAAAAATGAATTAAAAATCCAATTTGGAGAATGAAACATCGCTGAGAACCAAAATTGATATTGACGTGGAAATGGTTAAAAATTAATTATATATAAATTGAAATTTTATTTTAATAACAAAATAATTTTTGTCTTCACTTGAATTTTCACTATATTATTTTTTTTTTTATTTAATTTATTTAAGTTGTTAAAATAAAAATTAAGTAAACTTATTAAGTATTAAGTAAACCTATTATATGATAACAAATATATTTCTTTCCTGCAATTTCATGTAATAATTTGTAGCTTATTGTTTATATGTCACAAGTCTCAAGTATCTTAATACAACAAATAATTGCAAATTAATTTCGTCGACTGTATAAAAGATTTTTGTCCCTTAATGTATTTAGGTGTTAACAAAGTCATTAAAATTTAATAAATTTATGGATAAAGTTGATAACATATAACAATATCTAGATCTGTTCTGTTGTTTTCAATTGTTGTTTTAATTTTCAGCATTGTTACGTCCTTCAAACGTTGAAGCGCGCGTTTATCTATGATCTCGGCTATTTTTTCGCCACGCTCTCATTAATCTATTATCAACGCGGGGCCCCGCCCGACGGCGACGTCCCAATGCGAATTCCTAGCTCATGAGGTTCATCATAGAGAGGAGATACAGGCAAAGCACACATTACGTGCTTGATTCGCAAACGCTAAAAATAATCCCCTTGAATCGAAAATCCTGCGCTCCAGCGCGGACTCTCAATCTGGGGCCGTTTTCAAGAGAGTCGCATTCAGCAGACAACACACGTGCTGCGTTGTATATATTTCTCGAAAACACACCCCCACTTGAAGCGTTCCCCGGTTTATATTTGTGTTGGACGCCGTGGGCAGCTTCAGTTCAGCTCCAGATGGTGCAGTGTAAGAACAGACGCGTGATTTGAATGTGACGCTAGGACCGGATTTCGCGCCCTGATCTCCGCAGGGTTGCAATCATGATTTACGCGTCGCCTTATCAGCAACACCCGCCGCGGGAGCCTGACGTCATGGACGGTCGGTATAATTAATCCTTACGCGGAAAATTCGCACGCCCTCGGCAAACATTTGGCCCCGAGCGGCAGATAAAGCCATGAATGGCTCGCATTCTTGTCAATTATTCAACGCTTTTCTCAAAATTCAAGTCGCTCTGTGAAGCGTTTCCTAAGGCCTGATGACATAATTTTATCTCTTCTCAAGCACTTTGGATATATTTACCTTAATGACAATATTTAGATTAATGAGTCTTATCCGTTGGTATATTTCATCATATCTCATTTCAAGCTCTTTATTTATGATTCAAATAAGAATTGTGTTATTTTTGTATAGATTGGTTTCATTGCAAGATTTGAGTATTCATTATATTAATATTATTATATTAAAGTAAAGTGTAGGATATTACATTTATTTTATAAAAAATTTTGTTGCAGAAATTAATTTCTCTGCGTGCTATTTTTTATTCTTATAACTGCTTATAACCATCATTAAATTATTTCATGGGATATGCTTTGCTATCATAAAAATTACGTGGATTTGAGCTACATAAATTTTAATATTTGATATGAACTTGTGGCTGTCTTCCCTGTTT